GATAGAATTCCGGTTTTTCCAAAGATAGGATATCAGGTTTTGGGAGATACTATCACGGTATCATTGGTAAGAAGATACCCTGACGAACATCACCAACCTTTACAACTTCAATAGAAAAACATCGTCTAATTAATAACTCATCGACCGCTTCTATCAACAGCATCTCCAAAGCATCTCCTTTATTAATGGGCTCGTAAAAGTTAGGAAATACAATTAGTGAAAGGATAACATGCACATGAGTCTGGCGCTTATGCCTGCCTCCATGTATCGATCGTGGTGGTGATGTGGTGATGATCATGATAGGTGGATGGTGATAGGCGTTTGGGACTTGGAGGTTCGGCCACGCAGCTGTTACGTCGTTGTGCCGTCCCCGCCCCACCTACCGTACGCGTCCCCGCACACATGTCACGGTCCCAGCCGCGTGTATCATAACTGCAGACTATCACACCCGTGTGGATAACTTCACCATATCCGTGGGATAACCTTACTCAGTTACCCCACAATAAATGACGAGATATCCTATCCTGCTGGAGAGATTTTATCTTTACAATCCATTTATACAAGATATCCCGATTCTGTACCACAGGGGAAAAATATGGGCCTTCAAATACTGTTTTAGGTACCGATAATATATTAATATACACTACATCCTGGGTCATACATATAGTTACCATAGAATAGGTAACGCAGGCTGGAATTCAAAGAGCTAGCTTCAAGACTCCTAGAATTTGTAGCTCTTGGTTACATATCTATACTAGAGGCGCGGCCGGGGAAACACCGGGTATGAATATTTAAGGATGACTATTCATATGTGGGGTATCCCTTAGACAGCCCAAGCTTCTCGCTAAACGAGTTCTGGCCGCCCTGGCGCACTTTTTAATTCGGATCCAGTTGTTATTTGAGCTAGTTTTTCATAAGCTTGAAGGTCGTCGATATGAGATAAGTTTCTCCTGATGCAATGTCTTCTTTTTTTCGTTTTTAGCACCTTGATCTGGTCGTTTCTTTTTCCAAACCCGGTAGTTCGATTTCGAACAACTTCCTGTAGGCAACGTAGACTTCGCCTGTATTTGTTTTTGTATCGATTTCTCCCTTATCCGTATGAGTCTAGTTAACAGAGTGGCAGAGATACTTGCTTTTGATGCATCCTGGACATTCCAGTCACGTGGCGATAAGGACCGATAAGATAGCGTTGCACACAAAGTCACTCGGCCCTCATCCAGGCATCCAGGCATCCACACATAAATACAACCTCAACCACCTCAACCACACCTTGCCCGCTCATCATCATCATCAATTCTTAATCTTCTTCGCCACGCTACCGCACCACTGCCGCCCACAATGCCCTCCAAACCCACCTGGGAGTAAGTAGCCCCCCACCCCGCTCCCACACAGCTCCCCTTCTCTCCCCTCACGGTCTGCTAACCCCCACCCGCACAGACGCATGAATCACGATGATTCGGACGACTCTGTCGTCTACAGCGATTCTGAGATCGTGATCCCTGGCTCCTCTGCCTCAGGAACTACCCTCAGCTCTACTTTAACGTCGCCGTACCAATGCCTGGACTGCAACCTCGGCTTCGAAAATCAGGCCGATCTCCGCGCCCACAAGAAAGCGGACTCCGAGACCCACGCCTACTGTCACCCCTGCGACCGCGACTTTGATACGCCCCTCGAGCTCAAAATGCACGTAATCAAAAGCCCCCGCCATATCGTCTGCTTGGACTGCTTCCGCGAATTTGGCAGCAAGGGCGGGCTCGAGGGCCATCGTAAGCAGGTACGCTATCTTGTTGCCCGCTCTGCGGCCGAGCGAAATGCTAACGGGAGTAGATGCACCGTGTCGCGCAGAGGATCAGATGCCCGGGATGCAAGGCATATTTTAACAATGCCTCCGGCATTGCGCAGCACATCGAGAGCGACTTCTGCACTCGCGGCCTGGGAGCCGCGGCCCTCACCCAGCGCATTGTAACCTCGCATGACCCCTCTTCGGCCGCTGCAGCCGCTGCAGCCGCTGCGGAGCCGGACATGCCGAAGCCGGCAACGACGAGCACACATGTGTGGCGCGACGGAGTCGGGGGCGAGGGCTCGGCGGCCCAGGAGACTGATATGGGGCCCTCTGTCCTCGACTACACGGATGGTATTGGCCCCGAAGGGATGGAGTTCAAATTGAAGGACATGGGGCGCTACTGGAGGGCCGATGAGGGCCTGTTTGTGTGCAGTGTCGGGAAGTGTAGGAAGAGGTTCGCGAAGGCGGGGCAGATGCTCCAGCATGCAAAGAGCACAGCGCATGCGAGGAAGGTTTTCCGGTAAGTGTTCTATTATCTATGAGTCTCTTCTTGTTCAGATGGACGAAGGGGGTAGACTGACGATGTGTGTGATGATGTGTGTAGCTGCCCGACTTGCTGCGATAGGTACAAGTCCTCGTCGGCGCTCCTGCAGCATATGGAATCTGGAAGCTGCGCCATCGGGAAGTCCGAGCAGGCCACTGCCGCAACTAATAAGTTGACTGGAGGGCTGCTTTTCTAGTTTCTGGTCTTCTGGGATTTTTAGCAGCCGTGTCACTTCGGGGGCTGTGTTGGAAACCATTTGAAGATGCAGTATATAAAGGGTAAAAAAAAAAAATTAAATGAATCGGAAATAAAAAAATGAATATTCTCTTGCATCCCGAGATAGTGTGTGTGTTTGTGAATGTGCGATTGTAAAAGTCTCTTGGGAGAGGTTCATGGATTATCACTCTGATGGAGTCATGGACTATCACTCGTTGGTAAGTAGGCTACAGCGACGTTTTATAATCCTTTGGTGTGATGGGGTGAAGTTCTTATGGTGCGAGAAGGCGTACCTAGAGGGAGTCCTTGAAAACCCTGTACACAGCACTTCAGCCAATTCTTTTATTGGTTCCGGGAAGCAAACATGGAGGAGCCTCACCTTTAACTCGACTGTATGGCTGTAAGGGCTACCATACTGAACTGATGTGAGCAGGGTTGACAACGTTTCATTGCGTGGAATTAATGCACATGCGTAAAATATTCATCTTTTCAGATATGAGGTGCGCCTACAGGCTGCGAGTCCAATGCACAAAAAATACACAAACAAATAGAGAATAATTCCGGCCAGGCAAAATCTATAGTGTCTAGACTCTAGAGTAGGGATAACTGCGTGCGTTGCCGTACGGGGATGGGGATGGTATGGGTACTGACAGATGAAATGTTTTCGTCGCATGTTTGCTTCTACTGCTGCTGACTGTTACGATAGAGGGGTATGGTTACTGAAGAGATGCCTAGAGGTAGAGGGGTATGATGGGATGGAGGGGGGGGGGGACAAGTATTTAAAGAGGCCTCCTCCACCTGTCGACCTAATATCTCCAACACCGGTATCACTATAACTATCACTATTTAAATTATCTCATGTGTATCTACTTAGGCTAGGAATGAGACTATATCATTACCACTATATATCACTATCATTACCACTATATGGGCTACCATTACCTCACCTCTATATACCCGAATCATGGCGCTTACAAGACTGTCTCCCTCGTCGACTTCCTACATAAGTAGATGTATCGAATCTCCTGTACGCTGGAGCATGCCACGGCCCTTTCTTCACCATGATTTTTGGTGTCCTGTAACTACCGGAATATCTGACTACGCCTTGTAAGTAGCACCAAAGACTACACGCACGCACGCATTCGTGATCATAGGCTAACTAATTATCAACATAACAGGCCAAACACTTGAGGTGGATGGTGCATCGATTGGTTGCATGCAATTTGTTTGCTGGGAAGGGTGTCTCCACTGTATGGCTTTCTTGCTCTCGGCCGTTTTCACTGTTGAGCTGGGTGCTGCATCTGATGCCCTACTGCTGTCTGAGGGACGACTACATGCATCGAGCCTTCCCTATTATGTGTGTTATGTGTCCGCACCCCTATCGAGTCTTCCATATTATGCCCGCACACCCTCTACTAAGTAGATGCTAGATTAAGCATGTCTTCATCTACTATACTATAAAAGAATATGGCCCGAAAATGTTTTGCTAAACCGGCCTAATCCTACATCCGGCCCTGACCATGGGGGAGACTCATTGGCCAAATAACGAGCGAGAAGCTAAGATAGTTCGAACTGCGATTGTAGGCCACTCGGTGTAGCAAGACGAGGCGTCTACCACTAGACTACCTCGCTCACACAACTGTCAAAGGCCGGGAAGTAATACTTAAGGGAGTGAGGGCAAAGTGAGCTAGCTAGCTAGGGGGACACCTAACCCTGCAATCACAATCTACCACGAACCCACTGGCCGCCCTCTTGTATCCTATAAGTTATTATTTCAACCACTGTTATTATTGTTTAAATAGTGTGCACCACGATTTGTATATGTTATAACTTGACCCAACTTTACTGCCAGCCTGTATATGAATAATCAAGTCGCTTCTGAAAAACCAACTCTAGTCAGACACATATCTAGTACGGACTGATTGTTTGTATAAGTACCTATACTCTACAAAACATACACCACTACCTAAGCACGCCGTATATAGAGCCCCACGTACGTGTAGTGTAATACGTCTACCCCCCCCCCCCCCCTTTTTTTTTTCCCCTCCTGCGTGCCTCCAAAGCACACCCACCCAGCTCCAAAGGCCCCAACCGGACCCCCAAAACCCAAATCAGACCCAGACCCGACGATACAAACAAAGCAAGAAACACCAAGAATAAGAAACAGACAAAACAAATGGGATACGTAGATAGAAAGAACTGTACACGCCGCTGTTACTACATGTACCGCTACAATGCACAGCATTCCATTCAAAAAAAGAAAAAACCCGCCCCCCAAATCCTAAAACCCGCCCCCCAAATCCTAAAACCCGCCCCCCAAATCCTAAAACCCGCAAACCCAGACGCCGGACATGAACATTCGTTACTGAGCCACCACATATTGCTATGTAGCCCAGACAGACACAAAACAGAAAAGCAGACAGTACAACCCACAACCACCACTTCCCCCCTCCGCCGTCAAACAAACTTCCTTCTCTTCACCCCCGCCGGACCACCGGCACCCACGCTCTCCGCCGTCGACGCGCGCTTCGCCAAGTCCTCTGGCAGCCGCTGAACGAACCTCCTCTGCCTCTTTGCCGTGCTCTGCGGGCACTCGACGGTGTCCTCCTCGTCGGCGCTGTGTTTGGCCGCCTTGACCTCTGAGTAGAAGCTGCGGGTGGGGATGTGTGGGGTGGTTGGGTTCTTGGGTGTGCGAGCAGCGGACTCGGCGGTAGCGCGTTTGCGCGATTTGTTGGCCTCGGGGTGGGGGTTGGGGGCGGGAGCTGTGGGAGCGTGCTGCGAGGTGATGTTGGCAGAGGGTTTGGGGGTGGGGTTGGTTGGTTTGACTTCTGGCTCCGAGGCTTGTGTGGTAGGAGTGGCTTTTTGTGAAGTTGTAGTTGTAGTAGTCTTGGGAGCGTCGTGAATCTTCTTCTCCTCTTCTTCTGTGGTGACCTTTGCACTCAAAGGTTTGGACTTTTCCTCGACTGTGTCGTCCTCAGCTTCAACAGGAACGACAAGCTCGTTCGTGAAAGGACGGTTTCCACGGCGCTTAGGAGCAGGACGAGTCTCTGGAAGACGGTCCCTGATGTAATCTGGATACGGCGCAAACTCGACATGATCAATGTCCTCCTCGTCATCTGTCTCCTCCCCCTCAAGCTGCTGGCGTCTCCAGTACCTCTTCTCGATGTAGTAGTTCCTGTTCCTCTTCATGCCCTTCGCCGACATTTCTTCATAGCCAGCATACTCCGGCCGCTCGTGTTTGCCCAGCCTTGAAGTGAGCTGTGCGAGCTCCGCGGCGGTTGGTGGGGTTCTGCGGGAGAATGCGGGCGGTTTTTCGGCGGCGACGGCGACTGGAGAGCGGAACTTGACTTTCTTGGGGCCGGATACGCCGTCGGTGGCGGGGTCGGGGTCGGTGGTGATGGGGCCAGGGGAGCGCCCGCGGCGACGTCGCGGCTCGGTGGGAGGTGGTTCGGTAGTTTTGGCGTTGGCTTGGTTCTTGGGGGAGATTTCGATGCCGGCAATGAGGGCGGCGGCTTCGGCGTCGGCGAGGACCTGTGCGGCGCGTTTGTTGTCTTTGGGGGGTTAGCTGTCGGCTACAGTAGAGGTCTACGCGGCGTTAATAGGAACTTACAGTCTTCTAGTTTATCGGCGACGTTAAGTTTAGTCCCAATGTTTTTGAGATAGCGAACGTGGCCTCGGAGGTTGGACACATGCGCCTCTGTGATGTCGGTCCACGGGATTTCTTCCGCGCAATCCATGCTGTCAGAGCTCGAGGTGGTGGTGGTGGCAGTATCTGTATCGCTAGAGCTTGGGTGAGGTGGAAAGACAGAGCCCCAGATTCCTCTAAAGGCAGCGCCAAAGATGTAAGCCATGGGTGAAAAAGAAAAGATGAATTGAGGTGATGATGCGCTGGCGGGACCGTGGCCTCTGCACAGAAAGTGGGGAAATAGAAAGGGTTGTTAAGGAGGAAAGGAAGCAGAGATCGAGAGCTGCGCACAGTTGTCCACGGCAACAAGATGGGGCAGCAACAACAGCAGCAGCAGAGGGAGGGGTAAGGTAAGCACAAACACACCAATTAGACGAGGAAAGGTAAGGGACGCTGGGTGGAGTGGCAGCAAACGCGACAAAAGTGATTTGTCGGTTAGATTGGAAGCAAGTTAATCCAGTGGTTTATTGATCCTGGAACGATTGAGGACGCGCTGAGAGAAATGGGTGGACAGAGATTTTCTTGTAGGGCGAGGAGATGGGGGAGATGGGGAAACTTAGACACGAGACGGGATGACGTTCAGTGAGGCTCTACGAACCCTATCTATCGATAGCTGGACCTGTTCCTGTGCGGTCTTGGCAACGCTCTTAGCCAATAGTTAAACGCCACCCGGGGTCGGCAACGTTGTTTATCCTCCTGTGTTTTTGTTTTTCACTTCCGTCGGAACATCCCGAAATATTTTTTTTTGATTACGTAGCTTGAAGTTGAAGTTGACAGGAAAGACTGGTTCAGTGTTCGAGCGTCTGTCCGTCTTATCAGCGCTAGCAACCAACGTCGTTAACCCGCCCACCTTTATTTGGCCAACTTTAAGGTAATGTATCTAATCAAACAAGCTTGAACGCATTGAAATTGCAAAGTATATGTATGAGCTGGTGTCTAAACTATTGCGGCACTCTTGCGCGAGATGCATTTATCAGGAAGCAGAGGGGATAATATAATGTGTGTGGAGAAGCAACACAGATGACTGCCACGAGTGATATATTGTGACTAACGACATTAATCAAATCTTAGATCATAGTCCCAAGGTAACTCACCCGAAGAAAAGAAGAAAGATAATCTCCCAGGGCTGCAAAAATCCTAATACATTTAATACTAGCAAAATCTAACCATTCGAGTTCAGTAATATAACATAGACCACTCAGTATCCGACCTCTGATGCTACAACTAGAGACACTGATACAAGAAAAAATTGTGGTTATGCATATGATACTCAAAAGAATGCCTAAAACCACTTCCTTAGGAACTCTTTGGAACCCCCACCGCAGTGCTCTTCCTTCCAATTTTTAATATATCATTACAGGTTGTGTCGGAGGCCATCTAAACAGCATCTTCCATACTGTCGTACAGGATACGTAACTGTCCATCTACGTATGCTACAACTGTGGACTTATGGCGAGGAATAGGGTGACAACCTGTCCTCAATTATGTCGTAGAAAGTTAGCTAGAAACCCTACTAGACCTCTTAATATCATCATCGTCTCTTCAATCATCAAATAGTTCGGTTCTGCTACTGCCATTGGAACACGCACTGCCTTACAATACTCGGCGGATTCATCTTTTGTATTTTTGGTTTAATATCCTAATACTTACAACCGTACCTCTACCGCTACTTTTGACTGAGGTTTTCAACGCAGAAGGCATGAGTTATCCCATAGAATTGAGCTTTGGTGTGAGAGGACGCTTGAGTCTAGATCTAATCACAGTTATCGACCATTGCAAGCTTTCCGCTTCCTTCGGGGGAATATCAACTCAACAAATCGTGACACAGAACGTTAAGTGATGAATTCAAAACGATACGCGTACAACATATACTAATTAATTTTTTTTCTATGTCACAAACCCTGAGTAAAGAGCTGCACCCCTGATCGAAGTGCTCGGGGTTCCTGAGTGTTAGTATCATGATCAGAGATCTTTGCAATGCCGTGATTGGGTTTTGCATCACTCCTATATATGGTATGGTACATATATGCACACATATTTCCTCTACTGCAAGCACCTTAACGCATCTCCACCAAACTCCCTCACCACACTTCCCTCATCCTCTAAAAACTCCTTCAGAAACCCTCTAACTTCCTCCAACTCCTTCCCGCTCACCTTCATCAACACAAACCCCCTCACACTCGTCGCCGTCCACAACACCTCCCACTTCCTCTTCTCCGCCTCATCCTCACTCACCTTGACCGCAAACCCCTTACCGCCAATCCTCGGCTCATCCGTGTAACGCTGCAGCGCCCACTCGGCCAAGCCGGCGAACCGAGGACCCCTCACAATCACCGTCGCCACACACGAGAACCCGTCCATCCTCCCACAAAGACTCTCGCCGCCCAGCGCCTCGCTGTCGAGCACCAATGCGTCTCGCAGTAGCAACCGACGGCGCCCAGAAGCCGTGGTGGTGTAGATCTCGTTCCTGCTCTCGAAGCGTGCCAAGTCCCAGCGCTCGCCGCGGGCCGTGCGGCCCTCGCTAACCCAGTCTAGGAGGACGAAGCTTGCCGTATCGTCGGGCGGGAGGTTGACGATCTGGTGCTGTGTGTAGTAGCTGTCTGCGAATGGCTGGATGGGGTCGGGGAGCAGCAGGAGTGCCGAGGACGGGTGAAGCGTTATCGTGAGGGTTTGGGAGGTGTGGTGGCTAGGGTGTTTGCGCTTGAAGATCTTGGTGCTGCCTTTGTTGGATCAGCGGTGGACTTGGGTTCGGGACATGGCGGGCTGACCCTGGGTTAGGAGGCACAGCTTTGCGTGCTCTTCGAGGAGGATCTTGAGGTTGATTTTGTCGTCTGATACGAGTCCGCCGCCATAGGATAGGAGGAAGACGGTGAGGTACGGAGCTGCCGGGGGTGAGGTGGAGATTAGCTTTAGCGGATACACAAATTCGAGTGATGGTAGAACGAAGCGAGATGGAGGAAGAAGTCGGGCATGGATGAAGCCGTCCCCAGGGCTCACAGAGTCAGCCATCGAATCGAAGAGGATTGTGAGATTATATATTGTAGTATTCTGGGCGGAGAGGGGCATCCATCTGTGGAGGGGTGAATTGGAGCCCTCTTATCGTGTGGTCACGTGCGGCGATATTGCATGATGTGCGAGTGATTGCCGGTGACTGCCATTCCCGATTCCGCAGCTTTAAAAATACATGAAAGCCGGCGATAGCTTTCTCACAGGTTTTTATATGGCCAATCACAAACCTCAGACAATAATCAAATCCTCTGATTCAATAATCGAATTCCATCTCGCCGGTGCATTGCAGCGGCCATCGATCACCATCGCACATCACACATCACACACCCTCGCACCCCCCGTCACGTCGTCTGCCTGCCATCGCTCCTCCACCCACGCGCCAGCACCCACCGACAAACAACACCACACACAACCCAATCCCCCCCCCCCCCCCCCCCACCCCAATTCCCCAATCCACTCCACGCCCCCCAGCTATTCCCGCACATATATACACACAAGTCGACCACGGCCATTCTCCCCACCACCTGCTCGATGCCAGCACGCATCGCTTCGAATCCCCCGGACGCGATGGACACCAGCGACGACGCCGTCTCCGTCGCGCACAACGACGACGCGTCAACCACCAACAAGAACGGCGCGTCCGCGGCCGCAGCGCCAGACACAGGCAGCCGCAGGCGCTCCACAAGAGTGGTCAAGAAGCCCACGCTGCTGGCTACGCAGCAGGCTGCGGAGCGGCCGAAGCGGAAGCGGCCCGTCAGGGAGGAGTCCTCGTCGGAAGATGAGGGCGAAGACGACAGTGGGGATGAGGGCGAGGGCCAGGAGAAGGACGACGACGAGGAGGAGGCGGTGGAGGAGGAGGAAGAAGTAGTAGTAGCGGAGAAGGAGAAGGCAAAGCCGAAGTCGAAGGCGAAAGCGAAAGCGAAGCCGAAGCCGAAACCGAAAGAGCCGGAACCCGAGAAGGAGGCTAGTGGGGCTGAAGAAGATGAAGAAGCTGAAGATGAGGACGAAGAGGAGGAGGACGATGACGAGGAGAGCAGCAGCGAGGAGGAGTCCTCGGAGGGGGAGCCGGATGAAGAGGAGATCAAGGAGAGGCGGAAGAAGAATGCTGCTGCCCGCGCACGGAAGGGGCAGACACGGGCTGCGGAGTCCGGGGCGAAGAAGCCGCCCGCGAAGAAGACCAGGACTGCTACGGGCGCTGTGGCCGCGACGCCCGTGAAGCGGTCGAACGGGCGGAAGAGGAGCGGGGGGAGGTCGAAGGGTAAAGGAAAAGCTAGAGTTGCCAATGGGGATGGGGAGGAGGGTGAAGAGGGCGAGGCGGGAGAGGTCGAGCACAATGCTCTGTTTGGTAAGTTTTTACTTTTACGACGGCCCGATTGCACGGCTGGCTCTTTTGTCTTTGAGTGCTTAATGGCTGATTTGTTTGAGGCAGACTCTGTGTTTAACGGCGACGAAGATCATGATGATGTCGCGCAGTCATGGACCGTGAAATACGAGGGCGACAACACAGAGGCAATGAAAGACATGGTCAATTTGATCCTCAAGGTAAGATTCTATTCTGGAGATATATCTAAACAACTGCTAACCACCCACCGCAGTGCTGTGGCTGCGAAAAAACCGTCACAAACTACGACATTGAAGACCAAGACTCAGCAGCCGAGACCTTATCCCAGATCCAAGAAGCCTTCCAGCGGCAGAGACACGCCGACTACCCCCTGACCTCAAAGAAGCCCGAGTTCCGTCGGTTCCGCCAAAACCTCTCGTCATTCCTCCACTCGCTCATGTCCACATTTGCCGCGCGCGATATCCTGTACACCGACCCCGCGCTCATCGAGAACTTCCAGGTCTGGATCGCGGCCATGTCCTCGTCCACGCTGCGACAGTTCCGCCACACGAGCACCGTTTTCGCCCTCGACATTGTGTCCAGCCTCGCCACGATAGCCGCGGAGGCCAGGAAGGCGAACAGCACCACAAACCGCCAGTTCGAGGCCGAGGGAAAGAAGGGGAAGCGCAACGAAGGCAGGATCACAGCGCTGGAAACCAAGCTAAAGGAGGGCGAAGAGCGAAGAGAAGTCACAGAAAACATAATCAAGGACATCTTCGACACCGTGTTCGTCCATCGATACCGTGACATCGACCCCAAGATCCGCTCCGACTGTGTCCGCGAGCTCGGATCGTGGATTCTCACTCTGCCGGACGTCTTCTTCGATGGGTCCTATCTCCGTTACCTGGGCTGGGTGCTCTCGGACACCGTTCCAGGAACCCGTCTAGAGGTCGTCAAGGCGCTCACAAAGCTCTTCAAAAAAAAGGACTCCGTATCCGGCCTCCGCCACTTTACCGAACGCTTCCGGCCCCGTCTCGTCGAGATGGCAACCCGTGACGCCGACGCTAGCGTCCGCGCTGCCACTGTCGAGCTCCTCGATGTGGTCCGCGAAGTCGGGTATCTTGAACCTGCAGACATCGACACCGTTGGCCGCCTCCTCTTCGATTCTGAGCCGAAGGTGCGTCGCGCAGTCGTCGGTTTCTTTGTCGAGAACATTGGCGATCTGTACGAAGAGAAGCTCGAAGAGCTCGGCGGCGAAGACGCTGTCCTCGAAGCTCTCGGCGACGACTCGGACGAGAACTTTGAGGGCCCCACGCTGTCGTGGATCAAGCTGAAGTGTCTTGTCGAGGTGCTTGCAAACTACGATCTTGAAGACGGGGCTGCGGATGAAGACGCGGACGCGGCTGCGCAGGGCATTGAGAAGAGTGCGCTCAAGATTGGGGATGCGGAGAGTAGGTTTTCGCTTGCGGGGAGTGTTCTCTGGGAGGCCTTTGACGAGGTTGGCGATTGGGAGGGAGTGGCGAAGTATCTCTTGTATGACCACAGCGAGGGCGCGCGGGTCGAGGAAGGGAGCGACGAGGAAGATCTCGAGAAGAAGATCAAGGCGATGGTCGCGCTCGAGGCGAGAGAAGAGGCCATATTACTGCAGCTCCTCAATGCCAGCGTCGCCGCCAACATCGCCGAGGGAGGCGAGGGCGGGAAGAAGAGGGGCGCCGCCAAAGTAAGTAGAATATATATCCGAATATCGATCATTGACCTGTACTGTACTAACAAACCACGCTAGCGCACTGCAAAGGAAATCGAAAAGCACACCGAGACAGTGTCTCGCAACCTCATGATGCTCATTCCCCCGCTCCTCAAGAAGTTTGGGCCAGTCCCAGACGCGGCGTCTTCGGTTCTGCGTCTCGAGCAGCTCATGAAGCTCGATGTCTTCCAGGAGCTCCGACAGTCAACTGCCTACGCATCACTGCTTGACGACATCAACCGCCAGTTCCTGACTCACGCGGATGAGTCCGTCCTCAAAGAAGCCTCTGCGGCCCTCCTGCACGCAAAGACATTCGAGGAGCTCGACGAAGTGACGGACCAAAAAGTCGGCCAGCTGAAAGACGAGACCGTCACTGCGCTGGTTAACGCAGTCCGCGGCAAGGACCTCGGCAAGGGCAAGTTCAGCGACGCCAGCTTGACAGAGCTGATCAACACGGTGCGAAGACTCGAGTACATCGCGTCCATCACCAACTGCGTGGAGATCATGGAGACGCCGCCCGCGACGTCCGCAAAGGGCAAATCCAAGACCGCAGACCTCAAGCCGATCGAGGTGCTGATGGCGCTTCTCCAGCGCGGCGGCAGCGTCGACGAGCTGGAGGAGGAGCTGATCATCCGCACCATGAAGACGCTCGAGTACTACTTCATGTGGAAGGTCAGTTCCATCAACGAGATCGAGGACCTCGCAGACCTGGACATCGACGACCTCATGGCCCGCCGCAACGGGATCATGGAGCGTATCGGCGGCATCATCAAGAACCGCGGCAAGGTGGACCCTGTCAAGATCACGGCCGCAACAACAATAATGGGCCTCGCAACGCTCTTCATCGCCGCCGCCGCCAGGAACAAGAAGAAGAAGCCCGCCGCAGAAGGCGAAGACGGCGTCGTCGGCGACGCAGCCGAGGAAATCGCCGTGAAGCTCTCAGCGCTGGGCCGGAAGCTCGACTCGACGCTGGAGGAGGAGATGCTGAAGGTGTTTGACGCGCTCGAGAAGACGTTCGCAAAGTCGTCCGGCAGGGCGCTTGAGCCCGACGAACACGCTGCCCCTGAAGACGTGGACGACGCGGACACGGAGGCCGACGATGCTGAAAAGAGCGAGGCCGACGAGAGCGCCGTGCTGTTGCATGAGCAGCGGCTCTGCGAGTTTACGGGGAAGCTTGTTCTCGCCGTGCTTGCGGGCGCCGTCGACGAGAAGGTGTTCAAGAAGCGGCTCGACAGGAATGTAAGCAAGCTGGGGCCGAACTACCGCGAGATTGTTGCGCACCTGAATATTGGCGAGGAGGAGGTGAAGAAGGTGCCCGGGAAGCGCGGGCGGAAGCCGCGGCCGTATCCGGGCGAGATTATCAATTACAGCGAGGACGAGGAGGAGGGTGAGGGTGAGCATGAGGAGGGGGGCGAGGAGCATGCTGAAGCTGAGGCTGAGGCGGGGGCGGAGGCGAAGGGTGAGGGCGATAAGAAGAAGAAGGACCAAGCTGATGAGGAGGAGGAAGACGAGGAGGAGGAGGAGGAGGAACATCATGATGAGAATGCCGAACCCGAGGACGAGGAGAAGGAGCCGGAGGTTGAGAGCGATAATGAGTCGGAGCCGGATCCAGAGGTCGAGGTGCCCCCGGATGAAGATGAGGAAATGGCTGATGTGTAATTAACGACGAGGAGCATGCGAGGAAAAGGAAGGAAGGGTAATATTCTTTTCATTTTCGTTATGGATGGCTTCTTTTTTTCTCGGGGGAGGCTGTTTTGTTTGTCTTTCTCTCTTCCATTTTTTTTTTTTTTATTCTGTACCTTTTTTTCTATTTGTTAAAAATCCGGTGTTGGCTTTTTTTTCTTTCTTTCTTTTGTGGTTTCCTCTACTACTACTACTACTACTACTACTACTACTTCTTCATTCGTGCATGTTACACTATTGTGGTTCCCGTTGCAATTGTTCACATCTGCTCTGCGGCTTTATCATATCGTTTCTCTCTACCTCTCTACCTACGCTCTTCCTAGCTGTCTGTACTCTATCCATAGCTAGCCAGCTAGCTGTGCTAGTTTCCTTATTTATCTTATCTCATTGCAGCTCTTTCTGGTATCCTTCAGCGGGGGGGGGTTGGGATAGAGGGTAAGGGGGTTTTGGAGGGTGAGGTGTGGAGGGTGGGGAGAAGTAGAGGGGGGGTCGTTCAGGTGCTGGTAGGTGGTAGTGGTAGTACTTAATGGCAGAAGCCTAGGTGTGGGATGTGTATTTGTTTTTGTCTTTGTCTTTGTCTTTGCTCATTGCGTTAGCTATAGATACTTTTTGTAGCTCTGTTTTTTATTTTTTATTTTATATGACTTGGGAGGAGGAGGATGGATGGATGGTGGATGGTGGAAGGAAGGGGGGAAGGAAGGGTGGATGGTGGATGTAAATAAAGCTTTTATGAAGATGAATGGTATGGCTTTCTTGATCTCTAGAATATGAGGTGTGTGAATGGGGTTTTGTATGTACTGTACTCTTGTGGGAAGTGTATGTAGGCACTGTATTTACCTCTTCATTTCAATGTTAGTGATAGCTCAGCTTGCAGTGTAGACAAGTCTAGATCTAGACTACCAGAATGTGAAGCTCCTACGCGACTAGGCTTCATCCGTTTACCAAGCTTGGCACACAACCATCACATGTTTATGGGTTAGGGTTACATCTCCTTGGCAACATCCAACTACACCAACCACCACTCCCAACAACCTGTTTACCAGCGGTCTTCACAACTCCATAAGTGTAGTGAGCAAAGTACTATCAGGCCTCGAGCCCACAGTCCAGGCCAGAATCTAGGTACCCTCAACTCCCCATCTACACTAGGCACGGCCGCACAATAATAATAATCATTCTGATCATATCAGGCTCGTACTAGTAGTGTCATGCTGAAGATATCCACGGGCCCGGGGCATGTGCCCTGCAGGGATCGACGCGACGGACCTGCATCAGGAACGTTGAAGAGAGACATCCATCAAGGGGACGGGGCGGAGAGAACTCACACTCCGCTGCAAAAACTCATGACGTATCACTCCGCGATATCACACGGACGTCGCACCGGCGGGAAAATGGGCCATATATATATATATACTCGCCGTAGTAGTAGTAGTACTATCACGCGGAAAAATGGGAACGGAGGAAGCAGAATCATTCATAACGGGCTATGAGTCCTCCTTTGAGCGTCGAGTGGATACGCACTTCTGGTGGACATGTAGTGGACGAAACTGAAGCTTCCCTCACCCTCCTCCAGAGATAAATACATAGTTACTCGACCAGCTTGAGGGGAATACCATCAATAATCAATAATATAAACATCGATATCAGGCTCTACTTTTCACCAAACACACCATGGGGCTCGCCAGCGGGGCAACTCCGACTTCCAGTCCAAACGCAAACAGCACCCACGACGGGGCGGACTACATCAACCTCCCACCGGCCATCGCGCGGACCCTCAGCTTCCGCTCCGTCTCCCGCACGCCCAGGAACAGCTCGCAGTTCCCGTTTCCATACGTGGTGGATGTGCAAGCCGGAAATGTCTACCAGGAGTCGACCGCAACTGTTAATCGGACGTCGTCTTTGGCTACGATCAGGCAGTCCATGGCCTACTTGCAGTCGTTTGATGATCCGCCTTTGACACCGGGCGGTGTGAATTGGATGCTGCAGCAACAGCAGCTTCAACTCCAGCAACAGCAACAGCAGCAGCAGCAACAGCAGCAGCAGCAGCCCGGGCAGGATGGTTTTGTCGGTACGCCGGTTGTGGAGCTGCCAGGCCCAATATTCAATCGAGGCTTCTCGCTGGCGGGCATCGCCCCCATCAGCACGCAAACCGCCGCGAAGCCCGAGGAGTCGCAGAACCCAACACTCAGCCGGGAGTCCTCACAGTCCTCTGGCAAATCACCCGGTTCCATGAACTCCATCCCCGAACGGCCCGAACGGCCCCCAACGAACCGGCAGCCCTCGCAGGCAACAATCACGCAGGCCTCCTTCAACGCCTCCGCAGCGACTCGGGACCACCCGCACCCCTCCCCACCGCCGCTGATGCGGAAGGAGTCGCAGACCACGATCAAGCTGCACCCGGTCCCCGAGGACGCCTACAGCCCATCGATCCCGTCGACCACCACCCCCGACGAACCGCACCTGCACTTCCCCCCGCCGTCGCCGCACGCACACAGAGCGCACCACCACCACCAGCACCACCACCACCAGCCGAAATCCAGCATCTACGACACCACGGGCAGCAGCTTCTCGTGGTCGACAGCCTCGCACGAGCCCGACCCGCGCTACGACCGGCTGCTGTTCGACTACCGCGTGATCGCGCAGTCGATGCACGCCTACCGGCACATCTCCATCTTCCGCCGCTTCGGGCGGCTGTCGATGGCGAACCTGCTGTACTACCAGGACGAGCTGACGTGCATTGAGCGTGCGCTGTCGCACGTGGACATGGAGGAGACGCGGTGGGCGCAGACGGGCGTGAGCGAGAGCGATAGCGAGAAGCAGGAGCTGCGCGAGACAAGGATAAAGCTTATGAAGATGCTGCAGGACAAACTGAAGAGCTACTGTTCGCCTCCCCACCTCCCCTTACTGTGCTTCTCTTGCGTGGAGCTGCCAACTAACGTAATATGGGCATGTGTACAGACGAAGCGCTCCTCCTGCAAGAGCAGATCTTCACCTCCCTCGACCCCCCCCGCCCCATCGACAGCCGGCTCCTAGCAGCACTCGAAGACCCCTCCTCCTCCCCCTCCGACTCCAACCCATTCACGGGCGCGCCCAACAGCGACGACCTCATCGCACTCGGCCTCGGCGGGCGCGACTCGCTCGAAAAGCTCGTCGGGCGCCTCGTGCCCGCGCTGTTCCCGCACCGCAACCCCAGCGTCGAAGACGTGCGCCACCGCAACCTCTCGCAGAAGGACATGGCATCGATCCTGTCGCCGTTCACGCGGCGCATCACGCGGCTGATCATTGCGCTGGCCACCACGGCGCTGATGCTCGGCCCCATGGTCATCCTGCAGTTTGTCACCAGCGCGACGTGGAAGCTTGTGTGCATCAGTCTGTTTACGGTTGTGCTGGCGCTGCTGGTCGCGCTGGCGACGAGGGGACGCGGAGAGGCCATCGTCATGGTCGTGGCCGCGTATGCCGCGGTGTTGGTCGTGTTTGTGCAGGGGAATCAGGGATGTGGGGGGGTGGTGGCCACGATTGGTGCTGGGGGTGCGGGGGGTGGGTGAGGAGGAGGAGGAGGAGGAGGGGGAGGGGTGAGTGATAGTGTGTGCTTCTCTTTGTTTAGTGGGTTTAGTGGGGCAGGGAGGGAGGGATCTTACTGCAGTACTGCCAATCACGAATTTTTATATGAAATTGTATTTTAACGAGTGCTTCTATGTTTCGAACTGAAGTAATGATAAATAATAATGAATCACCAGACTACTACTATCACTATCCCCTCCAGCCTGAATCTACACTTGCGGCAAGGATTACACAGCAAGGGTAGCGGTTCTCAACGGTGCACAAAGTGCGCAGTCAGTGTCAATGATTGGGCTGCTCTCAGAGCACAACGGTATCACTGATCTCATTGTCACGCTAACAGTGTTACACGGCCCTAGTAGATGTAACATCACGTCGATGCCGTAGGCTGGTGATACCTTGTCACTCTAGTTCCTGATGACCTACATAGGTCGTATCGTTATTTGGGGGCCGTGGAATCAGGTTATGAGGATCATCTGTGAGAATGACCTCAGTGACCCGGTCCTACCAAAACCGTTATCAGTCTGACCCCAAGGCATCTAAACCGTTAGCACCAAAGTCGCTGATATGTAAGTACTAGGCCCAGGCTGGATCAGGCTCGACCTCGGCTAACTAGCAGCCGCCGTCTCGTGCACTTTGACGGGCCTGAAGCTCTACAAAATGATAGCACTGAGCACAAGCTACTGGCACGGTTGGAGGCACCTCAAGTGAGCAGCTCTGTGAGCACATGCAAGAAGCGAAGGTTTTCTTAATTCAATGATTAGGAGTTAACACGGCCTACAATAGGTACGATATGCACAGGAACAAGTCTCATTGGCGCCACACAAGAAGTCTACAGCCACATAAACTACGCCACAGAGGTCACGCGACAGTAACAAAAAAAAACGATTTGAAGACAGCAGGAGCCAGAGTGAAGAATACAGTTAGGGGAAAAGAGGATTTTACAGAAATAATGACGCCTTTCGAATGGGAACCTTTTAGACAAGAAGATAAATATAGAAACCATACCTGTAGAGAAGTTGAAACTTCTTTTTGGGCCGAGAGTTTCTTTCAACTACAGGATCTGAGCATGTGTGGTGACGATGATGTGATGTGTGATGACAGGAGTAGAAAAGTAATTCAGAAGAGGGTTTTGATGGGCAATTCGAGGATTTTTTTTCTCTCTCGCTGTGGGAAAAGGGATGGGAAAATATGGGCTTTAACAAAACGACAATACAGGAATTAAAAAAGATCTGGACATGCTAATGACAAGAGTGAGAAGATTTTTGAGGAAAACGAAAATCCGGATAAAAGAAGAAATCCACATAAGACATGGCACATTTAAAACTCCGAATCTCCTGTTGTCAATAAGGTTCATCCAAAGAATTCGATGACATGACCACATTCCTTGTTTCATCCATTCATATTCCCCAAATTTCCCCGAAAAAAAGAACAAAGCTCATCCCAAGAATCAAACCCCATTCAGACAAAACGAGAGTATTGCTTAAGACCAAATGAATTGCCCTATGTGCCTTTCCATTTCATTGTGATTTTATTTAGTGTAATCAGACATTTACATGTCCATAGAATCACCGTTGGCAAAGTTGAAACCACCCGCCTGCGGCTGAGCACCAAAAGCAAATGTTCCAGTAGCGCCATCCTGTTGGGCTGCAGGCGCAAGACCCTGGATCTCACCACCAGCTTCATCATCCTCATCCTGGAAGTACTTCTCGATAATGTTGTATGCCTTCATGTAGATCTCTTCGTTCGCGTTGTTCTGGCAAGCGTGGATACGCTCCATACCACCGGCTTCCTCAATGTACATAGCGTAGCGGTTGAGATTGTCGGTTTCGGCATTCTTGTCCATTTCTCCAACCTTAAGAATGTTCTCCAAGCCGTCAAGAGCAACCTGGATAATTTTGTTGTCCATGCATCCCAAAAGATCACAGAGAGGCCTGATGCATCCTTGTGAAACAAGGTATCTGATCTGCTCCGGCTTCTGGAGACCTCCGCTGGTTGCGTTAGAGATAGCCCAACAGGCTTCTTTGCGAGTCTTGAAATCGCCGTTGGAGAGAAGGTTAATTAGAGGAGGGATAATGTTGGCATCAATGACGGCTTGGATCTGGTTGGAGTTTCCAGCGGTGATGTTGGAGATTGTCCAGCAAGCCTCCTTGCGAATGCCATCTTTGGGGGAACCAAGAAGGGAAAGGAGGGCAGGGAGGGCACCGCAGTTAATAATGACCTGAGTTTGGACATCATCACCGGTAACAATGTTACCAACAGAGCGGAGAGCAGGAGTCTGAACAGATGTGGATGCATGCATCAGAAGCTCTACAAGACGGCGAGGGATACCGGCCTCAATGACAGCCTGGATCTTGTCATTGGAGCCGTCAGAAAGGTAAGAGATAGCCCAGCAAGCATCAATCAAAACCTCGTCGTCCAAAGAGTAGACTAATTTCGCCAAAACGGGCAGGGCGGGGAGGATCTGACCATATAATTAGCTTCATGCTACTTTACTGTCCGACGGGGTACACTTACAGTTGTCCAATCAGGCTGAGGGGTCTTTCCACGGCAGAAGTTACTCAAAGTCCAAGTAGCATTCCTCAACATGCTCAACTTGCGGCTATCACCCAATAGGTTCAATAGAGGTGGCAAGGCACCTGCAGAAAGAACATAATCTCTGCATTGCGGCGAGTCACCAGCAATGTTTCCCAACGCCCAAACAGCCTGCTCTCGAACATCTGGCTCGTGGCTTGACAATAGCTCAACAAAGATTGGGACAGCGCCAGCATCAATGACAACTTGTGTTTGGGTGGCGGATCCAGAGGCAATATTTGTGAGAGCCCATGCAGCCTCAAACTGAACAAGGGTGTGGGGAGAACGAAGGAATTCGACGAAGCGGGAGACAACACCACATTCGATGACCTTTTCAATTGGAGGATTACGCTCCTTTGACAAAAGTTTGCGGAATTTAGTTGTGGCCTGGATTTGCTGGTCAATCGATTCTGAAAAGACTCCGGCACACATTGAAGGGAGATCTTCGTTCAACTACCATTTATTATTAGCCATGTCAAATTTAGATACTTCTGCTGGTATGAGTAAAGAAAAATGAAGGTAAAAAATCCCCGAGGAACTAATCTGCATGACGCGACCAAAGAAACCTCTTCTTTCTTTATGACATCGGACTAGCTCGTGATACGCCAAGAAACATGGGCTATCACAACGTGAAGAAACGTAGAAACAAAAAAAGAAAACATAGAAAAGAGCAAGGGATGAAAGAAGAGTGGTAGACGAAATTTTTTGAACACGAACCTGAGACTCATTGCCACCTTCCTCATCACTCTCAGCTCCAGCTCCAGGAGCAGGGCTGGAAACAGCCATGTTTCTTCGTTTGGCCAAATTCTCCTCTCTCTTCTGCTTCCGAATCTCCACCTGCTGCTCCTCACGACGACGCCTCAACTCATCTGGCTTGAAGGTGCCCTTCGCCTTGAAGTTGCGCCTATGCTCGGGGATATAGCGATCAGCCATGGTTGATTATTTCTGTGCTGAGAGTTGTTTTTTGAGTTGTTTGTGTTGATGGTGGTTGTGATGGGGGATGGTGGGGTTGACGGGAGAAGATGAGGGGTGTGGTCGGTCGGTCAAGGGTGAACAAGGCCTTTCAGGATAAGCGATAACCAGACAGCGGGGTCTCTGAACCGGCAGCAAGCACAACTTTTAAATGCAGAGGAGAAGCGGGGCAGAATTATTTTTCTTCCTTCTGCTGCTATATGGAAAAAATGGAAAAGGAAGAACAAGGGGAGAGGCGGAAACTAAGGAGGAGGAGAAGAGGAAGAGAAGAAAAGAACTGAAAGGGGCGAGTCTAAGTACTAGTGGCAGGCAACAGCAGAGAAAAGGCAAGCAGCAGCAGTGCAACAACAACACAAGCGAACAAAGTGGAGAGCCAACAGTCTGTTAAACTTGGGTACGTACCGCCCGCGAGGTTCCCCCACCTGAACTTGTGTTGCAATCAATCCAATCACGTTTAGGCTTGGCACATTTCTAACCGCTTCCAACTCGCTCACGTGAATCTCAACTCCCATCTACATAACCTCACTCTGTTCATCTCATTCATCTCAGCTCGAAGAATTGCCATTCTGGCCCCAATCAAGAGAAATGTTTCCTCACCTGTTACATTTTTGCTGCTTTTATTGTTTCTATCTGTTGCTGCTACCCATGTTTGAGGCTGAACACCAACCAAACCAGCGACCGGTTAGGGTTGCCTCTAAGTGAGTACACACTCTATGAATGTGTGTACAAACCAAGCGTATTTATTAACATGTTGACTCATATTTCTTAAACTAATCTACAGGGAAGCATATATTGAGCACTAGTCACCTAGCAATACCTTAAACCCACCTGTCTTGTGCTGACCCCATTCTCGACAGTGATATTAGGAAGTCCAAGGTGTTTTTGGTCGAGCTCGAGCTTATTTGGAGACTGTATATATTCCCATCAGCAACAACGGCACCGATAGAAACCATTCTACAGAAGATCGACAACTTTCTTTTATGCAAGAAGTTTAGCCCGGATAACGGCGATATAACCTATACAGAATCCAACAGCGACATCCATCGCTACCCCAAAGGTCCCAAATCACATATGGGTGTCGATCTAGCAAAAGGTACCTGTGTGGCAACGTAACGAGGCCTCACCAGCTCGCTACCGCACTGTACAGCCTCTAATTGATGGGACAAATGGTTGAAAAATTTGTTCTGGGCCCTCGCCAAGGTTCTCCGAGCTTTAGGAAGATTTGGAGTTTATCCGTTGTGTGGTTCTTCAGACTAAGGATTTGGCTGTGCGGACGGTTTTGCTAGATCGATATTTTGTCAAAGAAATCATATTACCGGCCTCTCTATCTCTTTTTTTTTAAAAAAAATATCAGGCTACATCCCTTTACTAGCCACACGGGCTATAATCCATCGCCATTGAATAATCAGACGAAAGACATCCATATAAAACGTGTCTCAAGCATAAAACTCGTTCCCACCAATTTTGTACGAAGCTCCCTTCGAATAGCTCCTGGCACTTGGTTTGAATAGTTGCATTTACGGTTATAAGACTAAGTCAAGGCTTTATTAGTTAAGTACACATGATATCATACTTCATAGCAATGGTGCATATACAACCCAATCTAGGCATTGGGAATTAAGCACTGAATGTAGCCTGATCTGGGCCTGAATAAACTTTGAGAGATTTCTATCGGAATGTTAGTGTGGGGGTTGTCCTGTTACAAGCTTGTGAAACCACTCGGCCCAGGCCTGTGTACATATGTACGATGAATAGGTATCACTATTCACTATTCACTGCTAACACAAGCGCTAAGTGTTTAGGCAAGAGGAAAGAACCTAAATTTTACATTCAAATGAGGTAAATGGCTTTGAAGGCCTACCATCAATCCGGGCGCATTCTATCCATGCGAATCTATGCTCTATGATCGATCAACGCCGACAGTTCTATATTTGCTCAATCTCCAACCGAGCTTTTGCATATAAGTACGCACAAAGTACCACTGAATATTCCATAAGGTAAGTATCAACAGGAAATATCCAATCAGTATGGCTAGTATCAATAAAATGAATCACAATATTGATTTAAAAAAGAGATGCGGGAAAGTGTATGCAGATCGGTCCGACACGGTTATCTAATCTGATCGTAATCCGATACACTGCCAGTTTCACCCGGTCAGAATCTCAACATCTCTGTACCTTCTGCTAACGCCGAAGCTGATGTATGTACATGTAGGCAAGCTTCTGGCTTTGTGCGACCTACAAGAACGGTGGTATGTACTTAGGTACATGTAATTTAAGGCGGGGTAATGTCTCTGATGAGGATGTGACTTACGATACTGATAAACACGCCTTCTAGTTCTGAGCTATGCAGGGAGGGAACTTTCGGGACCTAGGTTCCCGTGAAGCTTTCCTTTTCCTTCCTTTTCCTTCTATAGATAACATTTAAGAGAAGCCAGATGAACGCTGCAGTCAGAGGTTCATAAGGAATCGTGTTCGTTACGAATAGGCCTAGGCTTTTCGGAACAACTCAAGCTTTCCTAACCAATGATTCCAGGAGGTAAATATCAGCCACAGAAAGGATTTCGCAATGTCGACAAATCCTTATCACCATGAGTTATATACACCATGGATAGTATTTCCCTTCTGCTATTGTAGGCCTTCAATATATGTGATGTAATTCTCGTGATTGGCTACTGCTTGCATGTGAGTTGATAGGGCCCCATATTACTTGTTTGAATCAAAGGACATCTTTCCGACGATATAAAATAGCTATTACGAGCTTCCTATCTTATGTAATACATTATTTTAGTACGAAGGGATCGACAAATTCTGCTAAAGGACGCCCGCAATACCCAACGTACAAGTTGGGGCTCTGCATTATCGTTATTGGTTCTTGTGACCTGTATTGAAAGGAACCAATCAATATCCCATTCGGTAAAATGCACTTAGTTATCTTTATCTTCCGGGTTATTGACACGATCTCCACATCGATCACTCAGCACTACATGTAGTTATACCAAATACATGTACTTACCTTAGTTTGTATTTACCAAAAGACAGCTTAGCTAACTACAAGTATGTACCTGGGGGGCCGGGGTACTAATATGGTTTCGGATTTAACGGAAATCCTTGTACCTACGTAGCTATACGTGCTGAGCTACCTCGAGCCTGATTCCATCGTTAGAGAGTACTAAACGATATAACTGAGCTTATCAAATATATCAATCACGAGGAGACATCTTAAACCCTGCAAAATTTGAGAATCCTGGGCAGAAAATTGTGCTTTTACGGTAAGAAAAATCAAACTGACAGGAATCTTGCTGGTCCTTCTTCAACCGGAAACTGATAGCTTATTCAATCCAGGGGCCATAAAAACGGAGTGGAACTGTATTTCGTTGATCAACCGATTAGTAGTCTGGGCTGAAAGCCAATATGCACATCTACATGTATTCAACCTATATATGTGCTTAACCAGTAAGTGATACAATCTTTAGTTGCCGAGAAGATCGTCATTGGCTACAAGCATGGAACAAATGTCACACTAACGTCTGTAGTACTGTCACGCATTAAGTAGAGAACGACCTGATGATTTGCGATTTTGCGATGACAAACAAGGAGTATAGGAGCACTACTCAGTATCAAGGACGTAATAATGGGTTTTAACCAACTTCGTATTTTAATTTATTCGCGCAAACTGCGGCAACAGGGTCGCCATTACTATTGGCCAGTTAGCCGTCGTCCTCTGATAATCTGTCCCGAAGTGATTTGCCTTCTGGCCAATCACGGATATGCCCTGTTTATATATCGGCGTCCCAACCTTGACTACCAGGCTCGAGGATCTTGAGTACTAAGTCTTTCTCCTTCTACTCTTGCTTTCTTTCGAGCTAAACTACGCATCCTCGCGCTTTGAATTGCGCGTCTAGAAAAAAAAGCACAATTGCGCTTCCACTTTATTCTTCTCCGCTAATAATCCACGTATTCGATCGCATAAATGTAACCATAAGCGGGCGCGGGTATTGCGTATGTAAATAGAGAGCTCATTTATTTGGGTATGTTTACCCTTGTACCACATGTCTTGCAATTGTGATAAACTCACCATTGGTTGATATGCAATTATTCGAGGAGAATGAAGGAGTTGAAGCATTCTACCACTAAGATGTTGATCCATGATTCTCGACAAGAGATGCTTTACTGAGCTATGTCTGAAAACCGTGCTAAGATATAGGTGCATAACGATCCTGATTCCTTACAGGACTCAGCTCTAGCAGATATCAGTAACTATACGTACGTAGTGATACGTTTGCGTTTGGTTCAATTAAATATTTCAGTCTTAATCAGTGGTGGGGGCCTACACAATTGTTCGACGTATAAGCCAGAAGGACGCTCAGATTTCGCGTAAGATTTAACGGTTAATTCCAAGTTAATACAACCATCGTCTTCAATAGTATTCCAAAACTTGCGTAGCACATAATCAGATATCGACCCTCCCCCACCCTCCCTTCCCACTCCCGGAAAGCACATGAACTTATACTTTCTTGTGACGTTTCTGTGTTTGAAATTGTAATTGGCCCTATTTCCGGACTTGCCATCCATATATTCTAGATGATCGTTACAACCGCATATCAGCTAACCAAGGCACTTCGTCTGAGAACTGTCAGCGTCCTAACGGTCATGAGATCCAAAACTATCGCACAAGCACCGCTAAAAAAATATTTTCTCCATTAGTGGCGTGTAATGATGCCAATCAACCACAACGATATGGGGAGGATCCTGTGCTTCTACCCGTCAGGACTGATCTATGAAGGAGGTCATTAATATCTAGCTGAAACTGAGCTAGATGACGTGATTACAAGCTCTGCGCCTGCGTATGCCCAAAATTCCCAGCGTCCTGAGTTTGGGGGTGGTCATTCGGGGATTTTGAGTGTAGGTGCGAGTGATAATATATGACTGATTGTGAACTTATAACCCTCGCAAAATCTCCAAAGATTCTATAGACAACTCCCAGAGTAGCCAGCAAGATCATACAGTCCTAACTTCTATAATCCTTGAGTCTTATTCTTTTCGAAGAACACTTGATCAATTATCGTTTCTCTACATACTTCGAAACACATACAGTATTAGAAATGTCGTCCGCATCCGGAGTTGACAGTGATCCCGCCTCTTCCCCCATCCCATTCCCACCGCTTAAGGACGACGAGGTGTTGCTCCGTCTGGACATTCCTTCGAACTGTGGTGCTGGTCTCAATGTTAGTAACCCCGTGAAATGTTTATGGATACTAAGCTATTCAACGATATCGTCGTACCCAACCCGTATAACTTTAATTATATGTGGTTTTACCATTATCTCCACCATTATCTCTATCTACTCACCTCCTTTCCTTTTTTGAGTCCACGACTAAATCATGCTTCCACAGGGCCCCTACCTCGGAGAACTCTCCAACCCACCAAGCCACAACACAATTGGCTACGGCAGTGCCGGTACGGTCCTAGAGGCCGGACCTAAATGCTTCCTTCAGCGCGATGACAAGGTCGCTATCAATCTCCTTACTCCATGCCGCAGGTGTCATGCGTGCTGCAGGGACAAAGAATACAGCAAATGTATCTCCAAAAGTCTCCACACGCAGTACACCCCTGGAATGTTTATCTCACTTCCTCGAGCGCTCGTCGCACTGCTTCCACCCCCACTCACACTTGAGGAAGGCTCGCTCATTCAGGTGCTCGCTCTCGCGGTTAAGATGGTCAACAAGGCGGACCCAAAGCCTGGGCAGGGAGTTATCGTGCTCGGTGTATCCTGTCTCGGAATTATTTTTTGTCTCCTGGCGCGCGCACGAGGTGTGAGGCAAATAATGGTCGTGGACCGTGATGATGGCCGTTTGAATGTCGCGAGAAAGTTTGTCCGTTTTCTGGAGACTCAATCAGCCGACACAGTAGCGGTGATGACATGTGTGGTCCCCGAGGGGACTGATGCGGCGAATGGTGCTGCAGCGGTGGTGCAGGCATTTGGCAGGGAAGCAGATGTCTGTGTAAACGCAACTGGGGAGTATGGCCTAATGAATGTGGCATCCAAGACGGTGAAGAGTGGGGGCGTGTATGTCCATGCTGGGGTTAGAGAGAGTGAAGTAAGTTGGGACGTGTTGGGAATGTGGAGAGAGGACATTACAATCCATGGGGAAGTATGCTGTGAAGATTTGAATTATGAGGAGGCAGTAAAGATGGTGATGCTTGGAGAGGTGAGCCTTCGTGAGTTTTGTCCCCAGGAATAGGTGTTATGGCGGGACGAGACAATGGTGGCTCCGGTGGTGGTTCTGGTAAGCAAAGTGCGTGTTGGTACAGCTGTTTGGGATTTGACATTGAAATTGTTGCTTGTTGCTTGTTGCTTGTTGCTTTTTGGAATTTGAAGATTTTTCTTTTTGTTTTTTGAATTTGATATTGAAGTCTTTTGTTTTTTGTTCGCTTTTTGGAAATTGTTATTGATTCTTGTTTGTTGCTCTTATTGAAACTGAAATTGAAATTGAAATTGTTTTTCTTAAACGTGTAAGAACTGCAAATCGCTGAGTCAATGGAGTGCCTATCTATTTTTAAGTGGTATTGTTTTCCATTCATTCAATCCGAACTTTTTCAATTGGAGGAAAAACGGTATTCCACACTAGTAAAGTGGATGTCACCGCAGATTCGATTTAACCAATTGTCAAATAGGGGTGCTTGACCAGTAATCTGGGGCCTTTTTTGTTCGCTAAGATGAATTCAGTAAAAGAAAAGCATACATACGTTGCAGTACCGATTCCTTTGTCCACGTGACACGAGTGATACTGAGTGACTGAAGAAGAAACAAACTTGGCTGCCTCTGTATTCGCTTGGATACTGTAACTATGGGTGGCCACAATAGTTCGATCTGAGGCTTAGCATGATATATATGGATAGATTGTGCAGTTAAGCTGGCAGGAGAAAGGCAGCCTGCTCTAAAGCGTTTGGGAGCACCAATGCTCAGTAATGAGTTTTATGCAATTTCTGATATTTCTGATATTTTTTCGTACGGGAGAAAGCTGGCGCCCGAATCTGCAGAAAGATCGCCAGTGAGGAACGTATACTCTCAGATAATTGCTCTTATGAGCGGTGTTAATTAGAGAGAACACTCACTACTTTGACGAGGGGCTTTGCTTTGCAAATTTTCTTCGAAGTCGTTTTCTGTTTTCCACATGCATGGCCAGGTAATAATAGGCTGAATGTAGCGTCTTATCTTCTCCCTCCTCCCGACTTTTGGATGATCGGTCCGGGGATAATGATGGACCGAGTCTCTTGAAGGGTGTGGCTGATGGTGCTTTGGATATATCCAGTGAAGAAAGAGGGTCAGGGGATGATTAGATGTAGTCATAGGGAGGAAAGTGGCGGCAGAACATCATCAACCACTAGATGTAGCAGCTGGGGCCACAAACGCAGATCTGTTCCATATAAGCTGATGGAACCATATGCGACTGTCAATTATTTTGACACAAAGGATTTTAAGCTTTGTGTTTTACGGAGAACTGAAGATGATACTGCGTGTGATCTATATCTAGGTTATTAAATAGACAGAAAAGGTGACTGTTCGATCGTATAATTAGAGCAGAGATCGAGAAGCCTCATGCATGTACATATCTAAATAGAATAGTCAGGTATCTCTGTCATCACGAAAGGTTTCTATTGGCTGGTTAGTTACCTCCCATCTCTAGAGTATAGTCCGGTGGGCTACAGCCAGCTGTTGATAGACAAAGAATTGGGTGCATTAAGGGAGATGACATGCATGTCTTCATGCATGTTTTCCTAAGTCATCAAACCACGAGTTCTGTCATGATATATAATAGTCCCTCTGACCAACGTTATATTATAACCTTTATACTTTCCATCAATGGTTCTTCTTGAGCTCTTCCGAAACTAACACTTCACGCGAGCAAGGAGGGGCCCAGCATGCCGCGCAGCGGCAGGCGGCCCCGACTGCGTGCGAGGAATCGATCTTTATTTCGAACCATTGTATAGAGCTGTATGTTCAATTCGAAACACTGAATAGAGCTGTGAGTTTTCTAGATCTTTACAGCCTTTTCTTTTCATATCGGCGGTTCCTCGAACTGATGTTTAACTTTATATGCGGCCGGAGGCCGCTCCTCACTAGTATGTACATATAGTTACCCGAAAGACAACGATTACGCAAACACTTCGCGGTTATGGTCGGAGGAGGAATCCAGGGCCTTATGCTACGCTAACGCTACTACAGTACTACGTTGTTTCTCCATGTGCTAGTGCATGAAAAAGTCCTCTTCCTCACCACCACAACGTTGGCTGCACCTTCTTTAAACTCAACCCAACTACTCTACGCCGTGAGGAAAACGATGAAAACGATGAAAGAAACAAGTACATCATATAGGTGTGAATGAATATTACTGATGCGAAAAACAGTTTGATATGGCGAGAGGCCGATGAGCACTTCGAAGAACAAAGATTGAAATCGAAATTCTTAGACTTAGTCCCATTCCCTTATTTACCGCCGATGTTATGAAGCAGGCTTACCTTTGGGGGTGGGACTAGTGAGAAAAGAATGTTATAAGTGTCTGGTACCTGAATTAATATGAGGCTAACCATCTGGAGTAGATGTAATTGCGATCAACCCAATGCCAGATTACGCTAACACATATCTTGATGATTCAGACGCGGGCCATAACTACACATTCACACACATATCTGTCCGAGTGGGCTATATCTTAATATACGGAGTCGACTGTTTTATAACGCTCTATCTGAGAGTCCCTGTTGAATAAATAATCAACCTACAATAACCAAGCACCCACAAAATAGAAAGCTCTTCCATTAACACAGCATTTTTCACAAATGCTGATATGTTCTTAGAATTTTGTGTGAAGCTGATCTCCAACTTATCAGTCTCCTCAGTTCGAATAACGAGCAATTCTACCCCGGCCTATAAACTCTCTATTAAACCATCAATTACCACTACTGGCCACGATGATCCTCCCTATTGGATTAAGTGGTACAGATTCAACTAACTCAGGCAAGAGGCATTTCTGTATAAAGGTTCATAGATCATTTTGATTTCAGAACTCAATGGCAACGAATATCCTTCTAGCGCAGGATCATTAGTATTGTACTTACTATGTTTCTACCAACCTTTGAGGCATTCAAAGTAAACCACAACAAGAAATGCATTAAAACCAGGGGTAAACCACGTGGAGATGGCAAGCATGACAGCGAATCTATATTTCAACTTTCTTTGGATTACTTGTTCTTGGCCAAGATGCAAAGAACAATATTAAAAAACTAGCGCTTCTTAGCATTGTCCCCCATGTAAGCGACCAAAACTGACCAACCAGCCAACAACGAAACAAAAAACTCCGACACACCAAAAGAAATATCACAATGCCATATCTTTTTCTTCGACCTCCCTCTTCACTCCCTTCATCTATTTTCTCTTTTTCTTTCTTAAGTTATTCCCAATGATTCCTTTACACCAACATTTCCGAAACGTCACTACGAAATCCCTTGAGAATCAAGCCTTATGTACACCCTCAATCGCTCCAGATCATTTCTACTGTATACACACGCCGACTATCGGGCCGTTTTCAATGAGTTAGTACGCCCCCGGTGATCTTGTATAAAACCAGCTATCGGCTCCTAGGAAATCATAAGTTCACCAAGCAGCGAACTCTACCATCAGAAAATTACATCACCTACCCTCCCTATCTCATATACCCTACCAAAGCAATAGCAATATGCAACCCTCCATTATCGCGATTGCCCGGCCAGCAGCGCCTGAGACCGAGGAGCCCGTTGACGAGCAGCGCGGTAAGGCTTCTTTCCCATAGACTGGTGCATATACTATAAACATTTTTAATTTACTAATATTTTGATATATAGGCAAAATTTGGTTCCAGTGTGTCATTTGTTAGACCCCGACCTAGATAAATAATACTCGCCATTTTACCAGCCAAGTAAACAGCAAATATCGCATGTCCAGCCACTACGTTTTTTTGACCATATCGTCTTCAACATATGAAGGTCCTTGAACGTGCAGGTTCCGGGGTTTTCATGAGGACGCGATGGATTATATTCTTTGTGTCTATTTACCTTATTTTTATCGACTGGACTGGACTATTAGCAACTGTGTTTTCATTTCCTTATTTATTTCCTTTGAGACTCTTTGAGATATAGAGAGAGAGATTTACAGAGATTACAGCATACGAACTATTTTACCAAATAAACTATTGTTATATATGTACAGTTTGCGTCTTAACTATCACCGTGATTTTCATTTATCCGCATTGTTTCCAGATCCTATGATATAATATAAGCCCCCTAAGTAGTTGTAGTTGTAGTAGTGGTACGAGACCGTAGCCCACATTTATTTACATGCCTCCATGTATTCCTTTCAATGACGTTTCTCTGGGACAAGTCGCCCACAAAGCTTTGATATAGGGTTTAAGAAAAAATCGATGTCTTGATATGTAGATTAATTAGGGTCTGCGTAGGAGCATCGGGAGGATAAGTATGTATGAAGCCCTTCTACCTTAAGATTAGCTGATAATAGAGTCGAAAAGGTTCTTTTCCAAGGATACATGTAGTCATCTATATTATACGTATCCTTTCAACAACTTCTGTGTATTTCACCTCACTTCCACAATTATCGCAGAATACCATTCGGTTTATTCAGAAGGGCCAATGCCGACAATTCACTGTGAAAAGCCCCTTCATATCTAGCTGCTAGTACTGCTATGACTTCTTTTATATTAACTACACATGGGCTAGTGCCACACCATCATCCCTCAATCTACACAGTTTCTAATCCAAAATACGATGCATGACAATTCTATTCGCTCCCAAGAAGTTCAAGTACACAATCTTCTTCTCGCCCAAGAACATACTCGGCACAAACGGCAGCTCATAAAGATCAAGTAACCAGTCTATATCCTCATCTAACACCCACACAAGATCTCTTTCAGCTCCTCTTCAAGACACATCCTTGACTATAAATAAAGGGGGAGACCACTCACGACTGATCAACTTCAGATGCTCACCAAGACACGGCACACCCCGCGTAGGATACTCCCCACTCGACATTGGCAGCGTCCGAAACGGCTCCACAAGTTCCGTAACATGGAACTTATTATGCATTCTCGCCTCGAGCCGCGCACTTCTCCCACCAGCGCCATCGGATCAGTACCATTCCACAGCTCACCAAAATACGTACCGGGAAATTAATTTACCTCTCGACCTTTGCCAGTAGCTCTCCGCCGTCGGGGCTGGCGTCATTGAGGCGGTTGTATCCCATGTGGATAAAGTTGCGCATCTGCACTATCTCGCGCGAGAGCAGGTCCAGATGCGCAAGCACACCGATACACAGAGTGGTCTGATGACTGTGGGTGGGGAACTGGAGGCTGGTGAGGATAAGGGTAGGTGATTGAGGTGTAGGCGTCATGTCATGGTCTTGCTGGGAGAAAGACATCATGTGTTGTGCTACGATTGTCTATGGACCGGACGGGGAGATGAAAAGAAAAGACTTTGTGGATTCAATATGGGAAATGGTGTTTTGTGGGCTTTATATTAATTATCGCAACACAGAGGCATATTCAGCTCTGGCTAGCGGGAAAAGACACAAAGGTGTTGGGACTCACTGGAGCTAGCTGGAGAAGATGAGATGAACACAGCTGAGCATGAGCCCCCTAGCTGACGGGATGCAGATACCCGCCCGCGCGCCTCGGGGATGTTTAATCTTTCCTTTGTTCTTGGGACGGCGAGGACATCTCATCTCCGGGGAAAGGTGCATGCGTACTGTAGAGATGAGGGAGGAAGGAGAGAGGAAGGAACTAAAGAGTGCTAGTGTCATGAGGTATTTGGGTGTTGATTCAACGTTAACCTTTGGACATGGGCTGGGGGAGGGGGGTTACAAAGTTTCTACTACCACGGTATTGTGCTCGAAGTAACTATAGATGAGATTACAGGTGAAGAGTACATAGGGGGTAGTTGACTAGTGGCTGTCGGTACTTGGAATCTTCTTCCTCTGGCGGGTGGAATGTCTGACGCGAGTGATATCTTATGATTACATCATTATGTAACTGCTAGCTAACTAGGGAGCTAGTGTTTATTAATTGTTGCACTAAGCCAAACTAGGCCAGTTAATCAAATTCTGGGATAACCTTTAGTAGCCAGTCGCGTATCATTTGCTAGGTTTTAGAGGCTGCAGCTAACTTTTATTTTGATTGGGCCACAACCATATATATATATATCGTAGGATTGAATTTCAAAGATAAGTACATGTACTATTATCTAATCTTAGTTCATAATTGATGACCGTATTACTGTCGTTTTATAGATGTAATTACCTGCTGTTGTCTATATATATTAATGTAAGTATTTAAACCCGCCAGAACATCGGTGCCATATCGTCCATTTCTAGCAATATATCATCATGGGACAATCTTCACTCGAAGGTAAAATCTCTACTCTCATCTACCCGTTCGAAAGGCTCAAGAACTAGATCTATCCAATCCCATTCCACGACCAGTGGTGAGTGGTGCATGAAGCGAACCCTACCTTGGCGCTGGATATCGATCTTATCCTTAACTTTGAGTACAGGCGGGTATCTTTCTGGCATTTGATTTAGCCGGCGGTACGGTAAGCCCAAAAGCCAACGTAAACCGGTAGAATCTCTCCGCTGTCTACAGTTGTGCACCACTGCGGCTTCTACAACAGCCTCCTACCAAAAAAGCTTCAATATAAAACAAAAGCTTGTCACTCCGCCAAGCCAACGACCCCTAACCCTTCCCCATAGTGCCCGCTAGTTCGCATCAAGCGACCCCACTAAACCGTATCCTACGTCACACAGAGCGACCATTTTTCCGGCCCTCCTTTAGGATCCATTGACCTCATCATTGCGCCGCCCTCACCCCACGCCTGCCGCCGATATCATACAAACCATTTAGGCAGCCAGCTCTCAACCTCTCTCAATCCACTGCCAAAAGCAATCCCCCCAAACACCGAACAAAAAATGACCGCAAACCCAGCAGCAATCAAGTCTGTAACGCCCCCACCTGCGGCCGTCCCCCCACCAGACGCCACCTCCGCGCGCGAAGAGGCCGCCCGCCTCGCCTTTGAGCGCGAGTACCTCGCGCAGAAACACAAGTACGAAGCCCTCAGGTACCGAATCTCGCTGGGACTCCTCGTCGCCTGTCCCGCGCTTGCGCTGATCCCGCCGAGGAAGCTCGACTGGTACACGTTTGGGCTTGGGTCGGCATGGCTGTACTGCCTGAACGATGTGGCGGATGCGCATGGGCGCAATATGTGGCGCGGGTTCAGACGGCATGAGGATGTGGCGAAGAGTCTTGCGAGGAAGCCGGAGGTGGATGGTGTTAAGGTGGGGGGCTGGAAGGGGGAGAAGATAGTGAAGGATATGAGGAAGAGGGAGGAGGAGGCGGATAGTGTGGGGAGTATCATTATGGAGCAGATATGGGATGTGTGGGAGCAGAGGGATAGGGCGGATAGGGATAAGAAGACGGGGCCGGAGGTTAATGTTAGGGAGGAGATGCTGAAGAAGATTGAGGACGAGAGGGACGTCAGGGATTCGGATAGGAAGTAGGGCGCAGAAAATCAAATAATGAACTGGTACCGGTGTAAATATTGTATTTTTACTTACTGTTGTCTGTGAATTTTGATCTCCTCTTCTTTTTTTAGCAGTTCTTATTCTGAAAACAATCAATGAATTCCCAATCAATCATTAGCAGTCCTTGTGCGTTTTCTTGTTTTCGTCTTTTGTTTTTTTCCGCGAGTGACAATGGGTGATTCGCGGCTTAAATACATCACATAAAAATTAGGCAGGCACATGTAGGTACATGCAGTCACCCCGCAGTACCAAATATGTATATATATGCCACCCCAAGGCTTCCTACATTTAAATTCCATCCGTTCAATCGACAAAGCTGTTCAAGTTGCATACCATCCTTTCTAGATATATTCTGAAAATATGCTAACAAAATTCGTACAGAACACATTCTTTTATGCAGCACGTGCATTAAGGTCCGTACGTACCTGATCAACCTTCACACCATTAGTCAAGTACATACCCTAAACCCTCACCCCGTAAGAGCAAAAAGGATACCTGTCCGACACCCCACGTGATCTAAGTCGTAATAACCCCAAACCCAACCTTGCTCACTCAACTCTCTCTCCCTCCAACACCACAAAATATCCATCACAAAACATCCATCACAAAACATCAAGCCCAAAAAGATGGACGAAGCTAATTCTGCTCTTGCTTCCCCCCCACCTGAACCAGTCATTATCTTTGAACCTCCCCTCTTTTTACAGCGTCGTAGAGCTGTCCATGAGCTCTTACGCCAGCTCTCTTTGTCCAAAATCTTTGGTGACGAAGGGCTTAAAAGTGTTCTTGATATTGGCTGTGGAACTGACCTCTGCCTCTTGCGTTCCCTAATGCCTTGTGACGATGACTTGCCGCTCGAACATGTCACAGGGATTGACATGGATGACGACTTATTATCCCAAGAACTCATTGAGAGTCTTGAGCCAGATCATGACGATGAGGAAGCACGCTGGAGGGAGCTTACAGTGAGATTACTACATGGTAAGTTTTCTATCCTAAGATAAAATCAAGAGGAGAGGAACGTGTTTCGTACAGTGATAGTAAAAAAATGGGGACTAACAAATAATTATTTGTGGCTTTATAGGATCCTTTGAACAGTTATCTCCGGAGATTATCCCAAAACATGATGTGGTGGTTTCCACAGAAGGTATGTTTTGCTCCATCATGAATAATCACTCGTATCCGCTGCACCCATCATCACTCGGACCCTACGTCACTCAGAGAGCTAATTATAACCCTCGCCCATAGTTATTGAACATTTGGATCCTATTCCCCTGGCGAGTTATGCTCCAGTGCTTCTAGGAAAGATGCGTCCAAAGGTCTGCATCATCACCACACCCAACAGGGACTTCAACAAGGTCTTTGATTCAGCCCTGCCACTCGATCCAGGGCGTCGGTTTTACCGCCCTGAGATTCCATATGCGATGCGTCACCATGATCACCGCTTCGAATGGACCCGGGCTGAGTTCAGAGCCTGGGCCAAAGAGGCGGCTGAGAAATTTGGATATCGTGTGGTCTTTACAGGTGTTGGAAGTTTTGACTGCGGTGCTGTCTGCGATGACGCCCGAGTTCGCGATTTTGTCATGAAGTGCACAGACGAGTACACAGGTGACCCTGAAGACAACTATGATGCTGTCCTCACCGGCAGCAATTCAAAGCTCGGTGATGGCCTTTCTGACTTGTTCGGCGAGCCGCTCCTAACATCAAACTACCTATCTCGTGCAAGAGAGGTCTTGGGGCCTTGTTCCCAGATTGCAATCTTTATGCTTCAGAAGCCAGAATCAGATCCAGCGTTGGATGCAGCAGTTTTCCCACAGTTCTGGAATGCTCTCCCGACTAACGACCTGATGCTCGTGTGCCAGGAGGCATACCCATGGGTTAAAGACGAGATCTACCCACCGCCCTGCTCTGAAATGTTGGCGATGGTGCAGGCTACATTTCCAAGCTTCATGCCGGCGCTTGTTGCGTTGGCCTGGGAACGTATTGGTAAGCCACTGGCACGTCCGGAGTCGAGATACGACGGCCACCTCGAGTTCTATGATGACTATGACATTGGTAATCCGCCCTCGGCCGAGGTTCTCCAAGAGCAGCGGCTGGCCAGGAAAATGGCAGACCGTAAAGAGAAAGAAAGGATGGAAAAGTTGACGGAAGAACTGGCCGGCATGAATGTCGACGATGTCGATGCCGTCAGGATTACGGTTACGGCGAAAGAGGTGTGGAATAGGAATTGGGAGCTACAGAGGGCGTTTAGATTCCATTTCGAAGTGTTTAAAGGGATGCTTATGACCTCGGGTAATCTGGGGATCATGGAACTCGCTGCTTATATGAGCGAGGAGCATGCGAAATCTGATGCTAAGTGTAAGCTCTCTCTCTCTCTTTGCCATGAATACTGCGGTTTATGATACTGATATACTCATTCAGGGAGAAACATTTTCACGACTCCCACCTCAACCGTCGAACTGAGGATGTCACCACCCCCTGGTGACAGAAAAGCCGAACTCGTCAAGTTAACCGTCAATGGCCCAAAAACCTCGCCAACATTTATCGTAACATTACCCTCCGCTTTGGGAATACCATCACCTCTGGGAGAAGCTCCTCTTCCAAAAGAGGTTTCTCACCAAGAAGAAAAAGAATCTCTTCAAGACGAAGCTTCTCTCCAAGAAGAAACTTCTCTTCAAGAAGGAACCCCCCTCCAAGGAGAAGCTTCCGTCCAAGGAGAAGCTTCTGTCCAAGAAGAAACTTCTGTCCAAGAAGGAAACTCTCTCCAAGTTGAAGCTTCTCTCCAAGGAAAAGCTTCCGAAGACTCGGTCCTTGAGGACTCTCACAACTATGACACAGACAACCCCTGCAGAGACTTCGCAGAAAGCAGTTCCTACTGCAACTCGATGTACTCAGAACCTGCATATGATGACCAGCACCACTTACATACTGTCGCTGTGTGGGCGATTGATTCCAACGACATGGACGAAAAAAGCATGGAAGTTGAAGTCAAAGACGAGGCACGAATGCTCAAGGTTCCGAATGACCAGGCACTTGACGCCATGGACGGCAAGATCGTGTTGACTTTCTTCAAGCCAGACGAGAACGATGACCCATGGGGAGTACCACGTCCCTATGAGACGGATGGTGAGCCATTGACATTCGATTGTAGTTATGGTGGCAGGAGCCCTAGGTGGGACCACCCTCCGTCCGATGACGAGAGGACTAGTTATGAGGGCGTGAGTGCGTCCAGTTCAACTGAGAATGGCAGTTCTTGGGGCCCAGACGGGTATAGCAAGAGCAGGGATAGTTGGGAGTGTTAAAAAAACTTACGGGGTTAGGCGGAGTTGTCGGTTTCTTTGCTTTGTCGTTTTACATCGTGGTGGTATTTCAAAAGGCCTATCATGTCACCATCTAACAATGCCCCAAAAGCCAAAAACGGGATGAGATAGCAACTTTACTTGATAGCAATATAAATTAAATTTCTAGCTGAAACTCTAGCCCAGATATATTGATCGCATATTAGAAGTAGTGATTTCAGCCGCCTAAATTCCCCATACAACCAGAGTTGAGTATTTATCGTTAGTAATGCGAGTATGAGTATCTCTAAACAAATCAAGAATCAAAGAGAGAAAGAAAGAGTTTCTTTTCTTCATTCTCGAAAGATACCTGTAGACACACCATCCACTCATGCTGTACTTATGCGTACAAAAATCCGCACAGTTAGACTAACCCTACCTCCGCATTTCTAGACGTAGGACTAACATCTATACCTTCCTATACGGTTGAAACCCAAAAATATTACCCAGAGAGAACAAAGAAACTAATTCCATCCTCATGTTCTAAGCAGAGGGGAGTAACCACAAAGCCAACTGTTATACAGATGCCTCAGCCAGACATTGATATACATCTTTAAAACCCATCTTCTCATTCGCTAGCATATCATTTACAAACTCCCCATAACTCGGCGGCAGCGTCATCAGCAGGAACGTTTTCTTCGCCTCGTCATTATTAGCCAACTTATTCAGCGCCCACGCCAGCACCGAGCCCGCCCAACTTGATGTTGAATCCGCCCCCAACGTCCGCTCGATAAGCATCGACCATAGCCGCTCAAACTCGCCGAGATGGTCAACCAGCGGCTCAGTATCGTTATATGTTAAAGTAAGCACAGTCTTGAGCAGGGCGTGGAGCGTGACAAAGTCTCTACCCTCGAAAGTTCTGCAGAGCGCGGCCCACATCTCATGGGCGTGAGTATAACGTGTAGTTATTGGGACGATGTGCGGTTCTACATTCGTATGGATGAGCACGATGGAGAAGGTGTCGAGTCTGTCCCACACTTCTCTGTTAATGGCTCTTTGTGTGAATTGCCCCCTGGCTGCTGTGGATCCACCGTTGGGTGGGGTTGGGGGTGGACGAGGTATCGTCCCAAATACGACATCTTGGGCTCCGTAGTGGCGGAGGTAGCTCGTGATGAGTGTTCTCCAGGTTGTGAAGTTGGATTGGCCGTGGAGCTTGATGGGGAGGTGGGGGATTTCTTTGGAGCTTGTCATGGAGTGCTACGGGTAAGCTTTGCAGTTGGATGGTTTGTGATAATCGGAAAAGATACAAGTACAAGGCGATGAGGATGTAGAAGATAGGCGCTTCTGGCTAGGGCTCTCCACAAAGGACAGAAATATACATGTACATACATATTCACCAATTTATAACTGGCTACATGTGGACAGACAATGACAAAAGGATACAAGGATGGAACGGCCTAGAGTAAAGATAGGTTAGCCATGTTCCGTTCCAGAACCAGAAGTACATACCCTACATCTAATTATATGTTGGGTGGATCATATCGCAAAACGAAGAAATACTATCATGAGCTGCCAGCGTGCGGTTGATAAATCACTGAAACCTTGTTTTCACGCTAGGAACCCTAACCCACTATAATTTGTGACGGACATCATTTGGCATCATTTCACATTGAGCATGAGTTGTCTGCATGAACTCTTGGCCACATACAAAGCATGTTTTCACATGAACCTATTCTATGATTGCACCACTGGCACACATACGAAATATTGATTGCAAATCCAGTGCTAATATTTCCTTTTCAACCCAACTCCCCATTTTTACATAAACATTACACGTTAAAACTAACCCAGCTCTCCCTCAATCTAACCAGACCAAATGGTAGGTCCAGGAACAGTGTAGCTTGTGGCTGCAGATGACACGATACTCAGCATATGTATAAATACGATTATAGACCAAGGGAGAGGCAACTTACGAATAGGCCAGTAGATATTGATCAAGATACCAGGCTCATTTCCGGTGTATACACCAGGGATAGCCACCTTCGGGCTTGGAGACCCTGAGCCACCACCAGTAACACTGATCTGCGCACACGAGATGTAGAACTGGGCACCACCGAATGACGACGCTCCATGGATGGCAATATGTTCAATTCTGACCAAGTACTCGCCGTTGGGCAAGCTCTTTGGGATAGTGAAGGTGAAATCAGTGGAGGTAGTATCAAAAGTTATAGCATCGCTGGTGATGGAAGTTGCGCCCCTCTCCCATACACGGAACCACACGGAGCCAGAGCCATCGAAAGCAGCTGCAGTGCTTGGGGCTTTGGCCATGTAGATGTTGAACGCACCGGGGTGGAAGACCGCAATATCAGCCTCAAAACCGATGGTAGACCCGGCGGTGACGGGGATGGTCGAGGTGGTGGATGCAGAAGCGAGACCGCCAACATTGCAGCGCATGTCATTAGAGGTCACATCCACTACGGGAGAGTTGGTGTTGGTGTTCGTACGGATACCGACGTATTCGGCACCGACAGTCCCGGCATTGATGAACTTGTAGAACCGGTCTGGAAGATATTAGCATTAACATTTTCATAATGGAAGTCAATGTATGCTTACAATGGGCAAGCGTCTGCTCGACAAACGCCGCACTGAGAATGAGAGCAACAGAGAGAAATTTCATCTTGAAAGATGTATAAAGGAATGGAAGCTCAATTTACTACCGAATCGCAGTCTGAAGATTCGAATTGACAGTGGAATATATACCCAATTTATACTCCCCAATCCACTTTATACACTCATCTGTCAAAACCATGCTCAACGTTTATTTGAGTGTCAATCACTAGAAGAAGAAAGTTTTAACGGCAATCAGGGCCGACGGTGGTATTGATTATCATACCCGTACCATGGCAATGGCTCGGAACCTGCCTCAATTGCAAAATAGCCAGGGGTACAATATATCTTTACCCCTTCAACCCCGCGACGACCCCCCGACATTTCCGGACAGCTCACGCTGTCCCTTTAATTTAGAGTTGCAGTGACGGATTCAACCGTCCGTATGTACGTTCGTCCGATGACATTTTGCGGGGCGCATAGAGCATCCTGGCATGGCGCCAAAGCTCTGGTAGTGTGTAGCGGTTATATGGTTGCAAGTATCATTGATATTAAAGGTTTTGCTTGGGGGACCCCGGCTCAGCTCTCCTCGGAACCACCGAATTTAAATGAATTATATGTAACTCTCCCTTGTGCATAAAAATCAAGAATTCTTTGTCCAAACTCTAGAGAATATTCTCATCCGTAAAGTGTCGGATGGATACTCATGATCACAAGGTCAATCAGTAAAGGCTGCATGTAATCAAGGGTTTAAAAAACGATGATGATAAAAACTGAATAACAAATAACTCACCTCGATACCCTAATAAACACATAGAGACTCATATCCAAGTTTCTCCAGGGCAAATATCATAAGCGCCAAAGTAACCGCCCAAGTACTGATATAGAGAACCCGCACACATGTATCTATCAAAAATAAGAGCTATGCTGTTAGTACTCAACCTCGAGCAGGCGCAAAATGTTTCCTGTAAATTATGAATAACCCGCTAATGATGGATTACGCATTTCAATATCTTCCTTAACCCTATATATGTAACACAATAATAGTATTACACCATTCGGACGGACCTAGTGGTGGTGGGGTCCGCCGAAGATGTTGTTGATACCGATGGATTTATACCTCCACCCATTATATGTTGATTGGAGATTAATTAATCTGCAGCCATCTTTATTGTTTGTCGAGAGGGGGTACGTATTACGAAGAACACCCCGGATATGATGTTTTCTCCATGGATGGCCGTGAGTGTAAACAGCCTTTTTAATCGCCCCATAATTGAACTATCTATGCATCCAAGTAGACTATGTACCCACCGAATTTTGTAAATACAATAGCCCGAGCACATCAGGAGTTTTTTTTTTTATATAAATCTTCTCTATGACAAACGTTTCAAGATCCCTGCGACGTCAAATATTAATGCTGGCCAAGACTCCAGGTACATACGTATATATGAGCGTGAGCGTGCAGGATCACGCCGTGACCTAAAGGTTTGGCCGGATTGTCCTATCAATCCCTGTACATTCCGATCTTCTGTAGATTTATTTTGTATGGTCAATGGGTGAGGTAAGACTCGGGCTAAAGCCTTCAATATTCCCGAAAACAAGAATTCTAGAGGAGCCATTTCATACCTAATTCTTAATCTGAAAATCTCTAGATTTTGGCATCAGTTGGTGATACAACTCATTGAAACAATATATTTCTCCATATACAGCACGCAACAGCTTGGCCGAATGATGGTCACATGTGGTGGTGAAGTTTTTTCTCACCCGGGGCCGCGGCGGGGTAGAGTTGAGGTGTTTGAGAGAAGGCCTAGGGAGCATATATGCATGTGTCTGGCAAGGGGATCGAGTGAGTTCTTAAGAAGAGACGCTTGATTCGATCATCAGGGACACAATCTTGATGAGTTCCTGATAAGAGCATGAGGATATTCGGATCCGAAAGGATTCGATTCGGCCTGCACCTAACTCATTAGTCAACATGCAGCTAGGTGTAGGTAAACGTATTCAGCACTTCGACCTTTCGGGCCATTAAAACAGCCATCTCACAGGATACAGCATGAGTGTGGGGGATGAGCATGAGATGTCAACTAGGATCCGGACAGCCGACGTTGACTGTACGTACATGGCAGAGAGGATCAACTCCAGGCTGACACATGTAAACCTTATTTCTTTCGCTTCAACAGCCACATCATCCGGATCATATCCTTCGTTCCCCGCTGTCAGGGGGAAAAGGACCACATGAATGTGTGTACCCCAGATCTTCTATGCTTCACAAGCGAAAATTCAACCTGCATGTAGATGTACCTATTACTGCGGGAATTCTGCCAGTATAATTTCCATATTGGAACCTACGAATTTTTTTGATTATAGGCAGCAGCACCCACACGCATGCAAGTACTTGGGTCGTAAGCTCTGAGATGAACAAGAAATTAATGATTACATCTAGCATTGAGAGGGAATCCGGATGGGCGAAAGAGCTCAAGAGAAATGGATCATAACAGATTGTCTAGTGTTCTGTATCTGACTCGCACTACATAGGCTCACTAGATGTACTTCCGAACAATAATTCATGAAGATCAATATCCTTCAAGTGTCGCCGCAAGGATCAGACGAAACCTTCCTCGTTCGTTCCAGAGACAGTTGATCTTACAGGACAAAGAGAAGATATTATGAGTATATAACTATAGGCTCCCGACCCCACTTGTGTAAACCCATCCTCCAGATATGATAAAAGCAACTTTCTCTAGTTGCACCAAAACTCTTGTGTGCGTATTAGGTCTATAAGCGATTGCGCCTCATAGAATATCACTCGACTCATGTCTTTCTTAGTTTGCTCTTTACCCACGTGGCCACGGTGATGCCGCATCTTGTTTTTTCACGTGAGAAATTTAACAAGATCAACGGGTTTGGACAACCACCCTTTGTAGTATTATTGACTATTAGAGCATTCATTGTGCACGACGAGACCTACATCTAATATAGCTAATCTAATAAGTATATAATTATAACCTGTATATGCATGTGCTTTTAAACGCTTCTGATTGGCTTATTGAGAGAGGTTTTGTTTTACTTGAAAAATGTTATTGTTGGATATGAGTATAGGGTATTGTGCTGAGCGGTGTTAGGTTATTGATAGGTTCTCTACCAGTTCTGGGAATCGATTAGTAGCTGTTAAAGGGATATCCCTGCAGCTTGAACTGGCGAAATTGTCTGATATATCCACTGATATATGGGGGATATCAGCAGATATAGAAATAAACTTTACCTACCAGGAAGGGTTGAGGGCCGCGCAGCGGCCTGAGAGCCCCGACTGACAGGCAAATAGAGAACTTACCTATACGTATATTGGACTGATTTATATACGTGTAGTACCGGCCAAAGGCCGGAAGCCACTTGTAATCGATAAATACATGTATGTATATAGAGCTTTGTGACATGGGCCACAATTTTAACAGGAAAGGACTAACTACCAAGAAATGAACCACAAAGTTAGAGCCAACCGTGCCATCGATTAATACTGATAAAGTGACAGAAAAACTGAAATACTGAGAACGTTTATTTTGAAACTATATTACACCACTCTTTACTTGTCTAATCCGTGAGGCACAGTCTTCTAGTCACAAGCCACAGCCACAATAAGCTACTCCACGATAGTTACTCCGTAACATCTCCGGTTTATGCCATATAAATAGCTAAGAATATTATCTCCTATGTAGGGAATTTCAGCGTCATGCCAGCGCATTGATGCCTACTGCTTTTGATACCTAAACAGACGAAAGTAAGAAAAAAAAAAAGAAAGAAAAAAAAAAAACTCCTCTCAAAGTTACCAGCCCAAACCAAATGCCAAAGCTAAAGCTTTATGAAAAACCGAAATCGCTTTTTTACTAAAGCACCACAATCTCTAGTCCCCAATATCTCTTAGCGACCAGCGCAGCAAGTGCAACAACCAGCGCCAGGATGAATTTATCCAACCAAGGCGTCTCGGCTCTTTGAGCAAGAGGCACAGTGTGCACTTGCTGTTGCGGTGGGTTTGGATACTGTGGCGTTATCGGCTGAGGTGGAGTAGGGGTATGCGTAAACCCAGCTGTGGTTGTCGGTGTAGGGACCGGTACTGGCGTTGCTGGCGACGACGACGATGATGATGAAGAAGGTGTTGACTCCTCTTTCTTCATTTCGTCTTTATATGCCAGTTTCAGCCCCTCTGGTAAGGCCTCCTCTTCCTTTTCTCCAAGTTCCTTCGCTCTCGCAGCGCTCTCCGCCAGTATCTCTTCATTAGTCTGCCCGCCACATCCTTCGCATTTCCACTTTCCGGATTCTCCAGCAATCTTCTCTCTTATTTCCGCGCTGCATTCCATACCACCTAGCTGCCCTTTCGCTTCGCCCTCCATAAAGCCCCTCAGCGCCACCACGGCAGTGCGCACACCCCACGCTGGCTGCCAGGTATCTTCATGGTGGCCTGAGATTGAAAGACAGATCTCGCGATTTACTTCGAAGCGGCCGCTGGGTGTCAGGAAGCGGAATGATGGCGGGCGAAGAGGATACTGAGGAGGGAGAGCGATGCGACCGTGGTAGATTCCGTTCGCGTATGGTGTGGATGGAGGTCCGCGGATGGTGAAGTGCCATTCCATGAGGTTTGATTCGAGAGGAGCTGCATGATAGTCTGGGGAGGGCGCGGAGGCTAGCTCTGCAGCTTCGCGGACTGGGAAGGTTAGCAAGCTTCGTTACATGGGGCACTTTGACCTGGCTACTTACGGATTCGTTTTATGGTGGGGGACTTCTTATTGTAGTTTTGTGACATTGTGGCGAGAAGGTATTTATGGATAAAGAGGCGTAAGGTGTACAGTAGTAGAAAGGGACCAGGTATATATAACTGCGCTTTAAGGGTTTAAGGACAGATAAGAGTCGTAGGACCTTTAGTAAGGTGAGCTTTGTGTTGCGCGTTCCTGAAATTGTTTGTTGCTGGGGAGAGAACAGAAACAGGTTAGACAGAGCTGAGGCCTTTGTTACCGGAAATAGTACCGAGCTGCCGGTGCTTAACCGGGCGGTTACCCGGGCGTCAGCTGTGTAGCTAGTGGTGGAATGTAAATTATAAATACCACTGTAGAGTACCAAAAATTAGCAGAACAAAATGACGAGCTCAGTTCTGGAGCTTGCTAATGAGACCTGAGAACGACCCTTGTGCAAAAACGATACCTGGAAGAATTACAACTGAAGTTTCCTTAATTAGCTATATATATAGACTACGAGTGCTTTGTAGCGACTTAGAGGAGATCTAGAGTGAGAATAGGAGCCGTCGTTAGTACCTAATCTAAAGATACTCTGTACTTTGATGGATCGAGATCTAGCAAGATCTCCCCAATTAAGTCAACGGTTTTTTTTTTTTTTTTTAATTACAATTAATTACTCTACTCTAGCTACAGGTTCTGGATCGAATATATATGGTAATGATGATTTCTTTTCGGTGAAATTTAGAGAACGATGCATTCCAAACCTTTGATTGCTAGCAAACAACTGGCCCGTAAATTTGCAAAAGCATCATATTCCTATTGCTACTGAAAAAACACCGACGAGATTCTTTACGATAATGCCCCTTATATCTTGTAGAGTCGCTTAAGTGACGTCATCATCTGTGGCTGTGCTACCCAAGACCCCTCTCCTGAAGGTTTGAGCCTCATCCCACCACATCTACCTCCTACAAAGCATCCAACAGCTCAACAGCTCCAAGTACCAACAATTACACAGAAATGGAGAGAACTGTCACTATCGACAAGGCCATCAACGCCATAAAAACCGCAGCCGACGAAATCCCTGTACGACCCCTCTATTCTTTCCCTGAACGAAATGAGGCTGATAGTGCAATGAAAACGATAGGCAGAAGATTTTATCTCCTATTCTACGATTCTGGATGTGCATCTTTCGTATGCTCATGAGTTTTTCTCAGAGGAGGATCAGAACTCACTATTAGAGACCTTGGCAGATATACTCAATACCCATGTAGGTTTGCTTGCGGTTGTGATGGGAGCTTGTAATTTTGCTGATTGTTTAAAAATAGGAGGATCTAGCCCGCGATATTTCCTGGGATCTCGTATCGGTTCTACTCCCATTTCTGGAGTCATCAGCTGCGACAACACTTCAAACTGCAGAATCTTTAATTGCGTCTACTGCTACAAAAGGAAACCCCAAAGAGGTCTTCATCAAGGTTCTAGAGTCGCTGTCTTCGCTTAGCTGGGCACCTAACGTAAGTCACAAAGACGACGAAGATGAGGATGAGGACAAAGCTGTACACTCTGGAGACGAAGATGAAGAGAAGGTGGCTTCGGAAGAGGAGGAGGAGGAAGAGGAGGACAAGGAGCTTCACAAGCATTCACTCAAGAAATTCCATGCTCTGCTTTCTGCACTATCGATTGTGCACCCCAGGATTAGAGCTAAATGCCCGTCCCGGTTCTTGTCAACCGAATTGACAACGTTGCTGGGCGTTGTCATGAAGTCAGTTCAGTGGCTCGAAAGGGAGGAGGTCGACGGCGTCTTAAGAGCCATACTGGAATTCGTAGAACTAGCTAAACCGGAGCTTCCGCGTGGACCTCAGTCAAGGAAACCAAGTGTGGCGCAAGGAGAGAGACCACCCCTACCTCCGAGAACCTCGACTGTAGATGCTACTACTACTGCAGAGGTTGCCCCGGCCAAAGATGATAAGGAGCTTTTGCTCCAGGCGAGACTGCTTGTGTCGTTCCTGACACATATCTTGGAGATCTATCTACTTCGAACCAGAACTCGGTATAATAAGACCTCAGTAGAATATGTCGAGAAAGCGCACAGTCACGGTAGTCATACACACCCAACTGAAGACGAGGACGAGGACGAGTCAAGAGGACTGATCCTTGGATGGGCTGGTGATTACGACGAGAAGGTTACTAGGCTCGGGAAAAGTAAGGTTCCCGGAGGTCAAACTCTCATTGACGACGAACGAGAGGCTAGAGCAGGAAGAAGGGACGTGAAGCAAATAGTTGAGGAGATCTCAGCCCTATGTGATGGACTAGGATTAAAGATCGAGGAACTACTTAAGATAGTTGAGACAATTGACGGTTAGCCCTCCACCCCCCCGAAATTTCATCCTTAGTCTAATAATCTTAGAACCCAGCGAAAATCATGACGAGGAGCATGAACACAACGACGTTTCTGCGCCCTCTACCGCCGATGAAGTCCCCCTATCAAAAATAGGCTCTCTTTTCCTCCTCGCCGAAAAGCTCTCAAGTCAGAGTTTCTACGAATTCACCGCCGGAATCTTCCCCGAACACCAAAAGATCTCTCGCAACTACCTCATTTTAGGCCCAGGACAATCACAGCCCCCAGTTTTAGATGCAGTCCTTTACCTTGGTGCGCTCATCCTCCATGAAGGTGTAGGCCTTAATGAAATCCCTCTTCAGATTGAAGAGTTCTTAATATACCTTCAAACATTCGCCGCCATCTCCGCAACTGCCACCTCTCCTCAGATTCGTTTCCTCGCAAACGTCCACGTCGCTACATGCCTCAAAAAACACCCCGATGAGGCGGTGCGTCTAGCATACATCAAAGACACACTCGAACACTGTCCTTTCGAGTCTCTTAAGGAGCGCGTCGTCGTTTTCCTGAAAGACGAGATTATTGCCGCTACCTCACCTTCCCCTACATCCTCAGCACCATCGACGCCAAGCTCTATCTTCGGCTCATCACTCGCGCTCCAGGAGCTCTCTTCTGCCCTCTTCCCAGATGTTGCCGAACTCCTTTCAGGATCGGATCAACAGAACTGGTCCGCGCTTAAGAACGCATACCCAACTTTTGTGGCGACCGCGAACTTGTACTACTTCTTACTGAAGTCGCCGGCGACACATGGAAGAGTGGGCGTGTGTGACAAGAAGCATGTCGACAGAGTGGAGGAGAAGTTCTTGGCGCCATTGAGGAAAGCTGTTGATGGCTTCAAAGGTGTGGAAGAGGCCGGAATGGGGTTCGAAATGGAAATTCTAAAGGAAGTGTTGGAGAGGATTGGTGAGGTAAAGAAGAGTGTGTTGAACTAAAGTGATGTGATTTAGTGTTAGCTTTTATTTATTTTAGTTGAATACCATAGTTTCTTTCTCGGATCTAGCTTTGGCTGGTCCTCTGCCCACAAAATATCTTAATTTGTTACTGTTTTATTGGCTCTCCTAGTATAAGAATCGCATTAGCAAGTACGGATTGTCGTTGAGTGATATATCGATAACCATGCTCTAAAATAGCTCTTTTTTTCTACAAGACCTTTATGGCACCAGTAGAAGTAGTGCACTTATCGTACAGCCCACATCATGTCTCAACCCCTCTATTCCTGGCCAAGAAGTGAACATGGGAGCCGACGAAGCAAGGGCGGATATCGAGTGATAATTCGTGAAGAAATTACACCATCCGATGTGCTACTTTCGAAATGTCAAGGCATCGGCTCCCAAACTGATTTAAAAGATATGGCTAGTACTAAACATCCTATTTACAAATTTGTAAATAATATAAAGTAAATCCTAGGTGCATAATCCTAACCTTGCGGGGTGAGTGAGTTGTTTCTTCTGTCCCGTAATAAAAGCCTTACATGATAGGTCTGCCTGTCCATCGGACTCATTAGTACCCCCACGTGGGCATATTGAACCGGTATGTCGATGTATTTATGACCAAGCTGCTTTGGTATACAAGATATGACAAGATCTGATCTACCCTACATTATAGATCCCTTGGAGATAAAGATCGTATCGGCGGAAAACATCGGATGAACTTATGTGTACATAATTAATGTTTCTTATGACCTAGCATAATACTACACCAGTTTCATATGAGTCGCCCAATTATGTGGGTATTGATAAAAAGCCCTACTGCCACTAGCTTCTCTCGAGATAATTACTTTCTTTTCTCGGTTAGCGCTCATGGGTGAGTATTAATTCTGACCTGCAGATAACGTCTTATTATATCTCATACTAAGTAATCACTTTTTAATCTAATATCCCCGGTGTAGCTGGGTGTGGTGTTCTGGATCAGATTGTGAAGTGAAATGGGGGTTTCGATCTCAAGATCTAGTGCCATAGTTTGTTATGCATTGATTGATATCGAGTGACCTGATTTACTAATGGAAGATAGGGCAGCTGTTCTAGATACACCGGTAAGAGTATATAGTCGCATTTAAATATAGGTTTTGGCGCACAGATACTACGTATACTAAGCAGTTGGTGAGGTAGAGCTACTTAAGATGCTACCTATATATTGCAGCAAATATCAAAGCGTCTGTGCGCACGTGCACTGAAGCTTTCACTGTACGACTCCTTTAATGGTAGAGGATCCGGAGCGACCTCCTGATGTCTGACTAGATTGTCAAGCTTTGTATCCGGATCTAATTGAGTATTGGGGTCATCTGCCACTGTTAAGGAATGTAGACCCTCATAACTCACGATAAACTAATCAAGAACACCCACTCAAAACTCGCCTAGATCAGAGATATTCTACGTACCATTGACAGGAGCAGAGAGTTAGCCATACATATACGTTGGATGGAATTCAATGGCGTATCCTGGCTTTCTACCTGCTTCAAATATGAGATGTGATATGAGCCTGTCTAGCCTTTAGTTGGTAACTAAAAGGCTACTGCAGCAAGTAATCGCAATACAAACCTCTCGCCCAATGTTCAAATGCATGTTCAATTAGGTAGATGCCCATGGAACGTTTGGCGAACTTTCAGTGGGCGGACCAGTACAGTACCCAGCTCAAATCTAAATTATCGCTTCAAAGGCCCTAGATGGAAGGGTGGCATGGGACATTTTAAAAGACGATGTGTCTGTCACACCTTCCCTAAGCTGGGGAAAAAGTTTGTAAAAACATCATGATGAAAAATGACTCCGGAATTCAGCGTTACCAGATATGCCCCCACTTTTGTTTCTTCCAATAGTGATAGCAATCTCTAGCGAACGCCTACGCCGTGTTCATGTATCTACAATAGCCGTAGGATTAACCCCATTCGAGGTTGAAAAATATGAGTGTTGAAGATATGATCGTAAACATTGTAGCAGGTTTAAGACACACAGTAGCTTCATAGGCTTCAGCATCAAGACATATCTTCCCGGGAAGAAAGAGATCCAGGTGTGAGATAGAGGTTTAAGACACTCGTATTTGACCACTGAACGCCTTCACGATCCACGTTAGTCCCGATAAAGGCAGTTATCCTATATCTTGGTAGTGTCTTTGTAATTCACTCACCAAAAGAAAGAAATGAGACACTGCGTACTGCTCCCCAATTATGCGCGCCCAGTTTCAGCTGCCCTTATTGTCAGCGGATATTTACCGCAAAATCATATCATAACCACACGTATATGTACGTAGTTATGCGCCTCATTACTCGTTTAATAGGTAGGGATTCTTGGTGTTATCGACGAGGGGTTTATGCAGATACACCCGTGGTACTCTAGAGGAGAGTAGGTACTTTGTAAATAATCTACTTCCCCGCGATTTGCGTGTAGCAGGACCAATCTTATACAATCAATCAGGTGAATAGGCGCGATTCCGAGTGTTTTCTACTTACCCTAGACCAATAAATCAAAAAATTATCATCTGGAAACAAACCTTTCATATCAAGTGCTTCACTACTCGAAACCGTATCATTCATTTACTATCAGGTACGATTGTTGTATAAGGCACAATAACGATCTTCACCGTGGTAACAACCAGGTCTAAAATTTTCGGGTCTTCTCCTCATGAAGCCACAAGTTATTATGATAGAGAGGCTCACAGGTAGGTATTCCTTCCCTATCTTACACTACCATGAAATGACCTCCAAGCGGCATCCCGAACGCTCGCAACCCCGACCAATCAAGTATTTTTAAAGATTTCCCTTCACGAACTACTCGGTTTTAGACGCCATAACATTATGTTTGGGTTGTACGTGCGGTGAGAATAAGTTTCCGCCAAATTTGTACGTGAAAATGCGGTTGCAACAAAAAGTGGTGGCGGAAACTTATTCTCGTAAGTCCTGATATCTAATAGACATCACATGTGTAGTTTTGCTTCCTTACTCCAGCTAAGTACTACTATATCTTGTACATGCATATTTCCATGCACCGTGGATGGATACATGGCATGTAACTCGTACATTAGTACACTTTATCATGGTGTCCATCTAGTCTGCACTAATCAGGCGGAGAAGGGCTTATTGCGAGCCGTCGTTTACTTCCCCAGGATTTGGTTCGGTCCGTGCACTGCAGATCAAAGAGCCACTTAAAGAATCCCATCAGCTAACAGTTTATTACTTTGAAATATAGACTCATAGGGTAGGTAGTGTATCAACACGTCATAATTCTGCTCCCGGCCGAGAAAAGAGGTGGAGATAACTACTCTAATGATCAGATTTAGGATGCTTTTTCTGAGAAACCACCTTACTTTCTTTCCTTTTTTTCTCGCAGCATAAAAACCCTTTCGCTCCATCTCAACCAATCGGAGAAGAAGGAGACACGTCCGGACCAGTCAAATATCTCTTACCTTGGTTGAAGGGAGCTAGTAATATCCCTTCAAGATCAGTGCCAATGCTACCACTTCAACGGTAGATAATCCAAATCACGGGTTCAATGTGTGGGGGTTTTGATTATGGAATGAACCATTCATGGGCCACGCGCAAGGCCAAGCTGCTGATGTTCCTAACAATGACTAAAATTTCGATTGTATCCAAGTCCACGTGATTGGGGGGAGGACTGCGATCGTGAGTATTGATTAGAATTACGAAACCCTGGCAGCTCACTTGGAGTCATACCCTATCACTCGAACAAATTAGTGTTTTAATCTCAAAGGCGTTAGGTAGTACACCCACTGGAAAAAGGTGAGGAAACAACGCCTGCATTTAACACCAACCCCGGTGACGAGAGGTACTTGAACTATAAAATGAAAGAGAGCGTATATAGTGCGGCCTCTAAGGTATATTTGACGCCTTGTACGGCCTCCCTTCAAAAGTCATGGTTGTTGTTTAACCGCGTTTGTGTTCACTCGTTGTTTCGTCACTTTTTTCCTGTGGGTGTACATAGGGGATCTTACCTGTGCATAACTACATAAGTACGTTGCCCCCTAAGAGGTAGAGTTCCTTGCCTGTTGTGGGCCTTTGTAATTTGATGACCCCCGCGGGCCGGCCAAAAGATCTCTTACTGTGAAAGTCCTTTTCCTCACTTCTTTCGGACCTGCGTGTTGTTCTTAGCAGTCGGATCCCATGATGTTATTTTTTCCCGTTTCCTGTTGATGAGGCCCACTTTCCATGTTGCATCGACGGAACCAAAGCTTTCCCCATCAACTCACCGCAACCTTGCACTTGTGCGTATGTAACAAAGTTAACCGGCTATCCCTCGGTTTCTTTTTTGGGCGCCCAGCCAATCCGGATTGGTTCGCCCCTACCGGCGTTCTCAGGAGAGGCCGAGATCTGAAACAGCTCCCAAGTCTAAGGAAAAAAAATAAACAGAGCTGGGTTGAAAATCACCCCAAACGTGGTACACCCCGTTCTGAGGTCCAAGGCCGATTTACCTTTCCTGGATATGTGGGTACGACACAAAACCGGGTACTGTCGTTCACGGGGTATTGGCGGATACTGGGTGATGGCGGACTGGGCAAAAAAGAGACAGCCAAGCCAACATTTACCTGCAATTCGCCAATACCCAGTATCCGCCAATACCCCGTGCAGGTTCCCGTGATTCAAATCCTGGATGACAAAGAAGCTTATTATGTCTTACATTGAAAGACGTCAAATTGCCTAGATAAAGTTAGGAATATGAGTTATTAGTTATCATTTAGTGACTCGTACGTATGCATTCATATCGGTTAATATCAAAGCAATTAAACCAGCAACAACATTCACCAGTACTGAACCGAAGATAAGTTAATACCCTAAACTGCGTACGAGTGCATGCACCTGGTGGTTCCACGAGAATTATTGGGAGCTCATAATAATTGCTTCTTGAAGTGCTCTTCAGATTTCCGTCGGGAGGCGGCGGCTTATGGCGCTAATAACTCTTCCGCCCTTGCATTCGATCCATGTCTATCGTGGGATTGTTGGAGGCATCTATAAACGAAGAAGATTTTCTGCGCACGGCCGCGCAAAGTCCGCTTATCTACCTGGACGGAGTATCAGCTATGTAGTTCTTTGATTTATCTCATGTACTTACTGCTATCGATATCGGATGCCATACAAAAAAGGCGCCAAGTCCGCTATTTTGTATAACATGCAATAGCAGTCCATTTTGAAAACATCAGGAAACTAGTATGATTACATAGTTAGTGGAGTTGTGTACCTGCACATAGAGCTTGTGGGGTTGATTACCCACATCCTTTAGTAGACAACAGTTATTATAACACGAACCAGTAGTTTTGAGACAACCGCCTCTTAACGGATTGGTGTCTGATGTGTGACGTGAGCCGGTAGTTTGGGATGTTGAAGGAAGGACGGAAGAGAAGGGATGCTAGTCTAGAATTGAAATAAGCCAGGTGCACAGGGGCACGCTAAAATTAATCGTCTGGTTGATTAGATATACCTGTGTAAATTTAGCTTGCGGGTTTAATTTTCCACCCCAGGATGCTATAGTGTACCGATACTCTATGTACTGAAGCTCCTCCATAATGTCAGATATTGTTTCTGAGTAGATGTACTCGTATTATAGAGATTATCGCGGACTGGATGGGCTGCGTGGGATTGTAATGTTGTGACACTGTTGGCTAGAACAAATCTCGTGGGGGTTCTACTCTGATTCCTCATTCGGTTTCAGAATCCCCAGCGAGATACATGTACCTAGCAATGGTTGTCCATCAATTGATCCATCAATTCCATCCATACATCTGTTCGCGATCTATGCCTAATCTGGGGAGCTTGTCAGTCAGTAGGTGCGTATACGCCTTGCGAACTAATCATATTAAATCTGATAAGCGACATGGTCGTGCAGAGCAGATCGAGCAAGAACCTTTCCCCTCTTCCCTTCCCTTGCCTCAACTGTATTCGTCACCCCCGTTTCAGATTTCCCATCGTGATCTAGTTTTCCAGCTACCTTAAAATGGAGGATATATATCTGGATTGGCGCTCCTTTGCTCTCTGATGCTATCGATATATCCCGGTTGAAGAAGGGGGGCGACTTTCCACGCGTTGACATACAGACAGAACACAGCTAGTAGGGAGCAGTCAGAAACTTCAAATGTCAACATCAGTCTCCAACGCTATTGCACTTGATACCAAGCCAGATGAAAAGACTGCTGGCTCATCAGCAATCGAATCATACGATCCGACATTATCAAATCCACATTCAGAAGGTAGTTGGTTCCAAAGGGCCAAGGCGGAAATTTTGTTTCTTTGCACAACAAAAGAAGGATTGATTGGGGGATATGAGTCAGTATTGAGTAGTTCATTTTTGTCGTAGCCTATTCTAGAACGAAAGCTTAATCCATGAACACAGTTACGTATGGCTTCTCACGCCAGACATACCGCCGTTTAACTGGAAGTACAAGGATCGAGTACAGCCATTTTATGGAATTAATGATCGGATACCGCTGCTATTAACAATTCTCCTTGGAATGCAGCACTCTCTGGCAATGATGGGTGGCAGTATGTTACCAAACTCTTGTTTCTATGAAACCCTCCCACTTTTATCATATACATAGTGACTAATAATTGATATAGTCGTTACACCACCAATCATTCTTGTTGGCGCATCAGGGGTAAACCTGGACACAGGAACGGTGGGGTACCTGGTGTCCACCGCCTTAATCCTTTCGGGAATTTTCTCAGCATTCCAAATATTTCGGTTTAAAATCTTCAATACTGGTTTTTGGCTAGGCACAGGCATGATGTGTGTCGTTGGTGAAGCCTTCTCTGTTGTACCAATTGCGCAAGCATACTTTGCGCAACAGTATGCATCAGGATATTGTGATATAGGACAAGATGGACGAAGATTACCGTGCCCCGACGCTTATGGGAGGCTTATCGGCACGATATCAGTCGTCATGTGTTTCCAAATCGCAATTAGCTTGGTAAAACCAAGGGTTCTAATGAAGATGTGCCCAAATCTTGTTGTAGGGATGGTGATGATATGCATTGGCTCTGGTCTAGTGGCCAGTGGTACTAAAAGCTGGGCAGGTGGGAGCGGGCCGTGTATGAACAGGCCTGAAAGTGGATTTTTCGAACTTTGTCCAAACATTGGTAGGTTGCAAGTGATTTCCCATGATTTTGAGTCCAAACCTAACCCACTTCTTACACTAGCTGCACCCCAACCTCGGCTTTGGGGATCACCCTCGTTTATTGGCCTTGGCTTTTCCGTCTACATCACCATTCTCATTGTCGAGCTCTTCGGTGCCCCCCTCATTCGCAATTGCTCCGTTGCCTGCGGCCTGCTCGTGGGTGCGGTTATTGCCGCAGCGACAGGGTTTATAGACAGTGCTCCAATCAATAAAGCACCTTCAGTGACATTCATGTGGACGCATACATTCAAGCTTGGAATTGATGGGTCACTGGTACTCCCATTGATAGCCTGCTGTATCACTACTTCCATAAGCTGTCTTGGCGACATTATGGCAACAGCTGAGGTTTCTGGAATTGATGTCGAGACGGAGGGAAACCCCGATTTGGATGTGAGAATCCAAGGCGGACTCACAGCAGATGCGCTATGGAGCGTCCTTGCTGGACTAGCCACTAGCACACCAACCGTTTGCTTTGCACAAAACAATGTGAGTCGGCCTACTTCTCCCCAAATCAACGTAGCATATTACATTTGTTAACGTATATTCCTTTTTCTTCTGTAGGGTGTGATAGCACTAAGTGGCTGCGCTTCTCGTCGTGCTGGATATGCAGCCTGTTTCTTCCTGTTCCTCGCCGGTGTCTGCTCCAAATTCGGCGCGGCAATAACGGTACTCCCGGCCTCTGTCATTGGCGGCATGACCACTTTCCTCTTCACTTCAGTGATAGTTTCCGGCATCAGAATCCTCTCCACAGTTCGCTGGACCCGTCGAAATAGGTTCATTGCCACTGCAGCACTGACGCTTGGCTTTTCTGATTTGATCGTGCCCAACTGGATCATCTTCCTGATACCAGAGACCGAGAGCAAAGCATTGCATAGTTTTTATGAGGGTCTTGGCTTGATTATATCGACTGGATATGTCATTGTTGCATTTGTAGGGTGCTCGCTGAATGCAATTCTGCCGGACGAAAAGACCGGAAGTGCTGGCGCTGGGTACAAGAAAGAGCTACCGTTGACTGAATCCCCGACTAAAGCAGATTAAAGTGAAGATGGATGATTTAAACTTACTTTTTTTACCCTCTCGGGGCTTCTTTCTATTTGTTTATTAAAAGTTTGGATTTGGAAGCCGGGCTTGGCTAGGAGGGTTCTTGTTTTGGGTTCACATTTAAAACAATGAGATGTCTAATGGTTTGTCTTAATTTATACAACTCAAAAATAATCACCTGGGGTTTCGGAATTAATGATCGTGCGCGTGATACGAATTGATATGTAATAGCTGGACTTTCTCCCGAGCGAAAATATGGCAATACATTCCGAAGTACAGGCCTAGGGACTCCTAGTTTAAATCACTCCCTTACTCGAACGACCTGTGGGTTTAGCTACCAAAGTTAGACCGGGGGAGCTGGAAATGGTGTGGGGCAACCTAAGGGAGGAATAAACGGGCCGAGAAAAGGAAAAGGGGACAAATTGCATTAGGGAAAGTAGAGGATGGGTCAAAAGGTAGCAATATTCCGTTACACATTTCAGTTTATTTTCTTTATTTTATTTCTTTGACGCGTTTCTGGGTTTGTCAGATATTGTCATAACCTCCGGGTTGCATGCAGTTAATGAAGTAATCAATCAATCAATCAATCAATCAATCAAAATCCCCGAGTTATAGATCCGAGTGATAACTTATGATTCAATTCAATAATCAAATTACGAAAACTCCACCTAACAGTTAAACCAATAACTACACTCAAATATGTGCACTATATATACCAACTACCAAGCATCCCTCTACTCCACTCACCCAAAACACTCACACTACACTTCCCTAACCTTCAACGTACACCTGACCTTCTCGCCCCTCACAGTGGGTAACCAATGCTCCACGATCTTTATCCCCTCTCCTTCGTGCTCATACAGTTCCATCTCAAACATCCTAAACACCCTCGCAAACACCATATACAGCTCTGCCCACGCCAAGCTTCTCACTGTCAGCACATCCATAATCAACTCTGGGAAGGGAAAGGAGTGGCTTACTTCATCCCGAGGCATTGTCGTGACCCGGCGGAGAAGCTGACGAGGTACTTATCGAGCTCTTTGGCCTTGGGGACGAGCCAGCGCGTGGGGTCGAATTCGTGGCTGGAGGAGAAGAGGTCTTCGTTGTGGTGGACGACGTAGGAGTCCATCATTACTACGGTCTGTATACATACTACATCAGCACTCGTGACATGAGTAGATACCTAATTAGCTAGGGGAACCTACACCACCGGGGAAGAATGCGCCTGCAATAGTCGCGCCCTCCGCTGGCACTACTCGCGGCAGGGGGCCTATCACACCGTAGGACATCCTCAGGGACTCCTTGATAAACGCCGTCTACAACGTATTAGCTCAATGCCTAGGTTTATCCGATATCTAGCATCTCACCAGATACGGCAAGCTCTCCAACTCCTTCAACGACGCAACATCCCTCACAGCCGGCATCACCTCCCTTAGCTCCCTCAGCAGCCGCTCTCCAACCTCCGGCTTCTGCAGCGCATACACAGTCCCTACGCAGAGCGCATGCCTTGTCGTATGCGTGCCCGCACTCACGACCGTCACACCCTCCTTCGCAAGATAGTCGATCGTCTTCTCGTCCGGTTCCGGGTATGCCTCTAGCAGACGGTTGAAGATCGTTGTATGCCCGGCCTTTGTTGGAGCGGTGTCGGCGGTGGGTGAGAGGAGGTGCTGGATCTGGTGGCGGCAGTCTTGCTCCATTTCGAGGAAGCCGGCGCCGTCGGGCATCAGCAGGTTTGCGAGCCAGAAGGGCATGTTGCCGGCGAGGCGGGCGAGGAGGGGGAAGTGCTTGAAGACGAGGAAGACTTCTTGTTGCTTGTCGAAGGCTTCCATGGCGCGGGAACGGAAGTCGGCGTTGTTGAGGACGCTATTGGATGTTCAGTATTGTCTCTTCATATATTGACTTACTTAGTAGCAAGAGGAGGGATGCTGAAAATAAAGATTGTTTATATGGAGAGTATAGAACCGTCTACCATAGAATAAACCCTTATCTTAACACCCATACCTCAGTTCTCCCACTACCAAAACTAGAAGCTACTTACCCATAACTAATCCCAAACGAAAAATCTGATACCGTATCAATCGTCACCGCCTGATACGCATTATGCACGCACACCTCTCTTCCGGTATCTGCATACTCCCCCTCCAGTCTCTGTACCAGCCTATCGACCTTGCTCTGCACCAGCGGCTCCAGATCAAAGATTGTGCGCCGCGAGAAAGATTGGTTGAGCACTGACCGTTTGCAGCGGTGCTCGGCGTTCGAGACGGTGCCGAAGGAGGAGTTGGAGAGGTTGAAGAGCTGGTAGAAGCCGTGGTACTTGGTGAGGGGCGTGTTGAGGCGGTAGATCTATGAGGGGGTGTTAGTGGGTGGGTTATGGGGAGGGGAGGAGGAGGGGAGGGACTTCGTGGTAGGCGCTGGGAGGGGAGAGGTGGATTTCGTTGTGGCTGATGCGGACTATGGGGCCTGTAGAAGGTTAGTAGCTAGCTTGAAGATATTTGGAAGAAGAGTGTTATTATTATTGTAGTATCCTTACCGTATTTCTTATGGAGGTCTTGGAGATGGTATGTAAGTTGACCATCTTTAATAATCTTGAGCACACAGTACATTAGTAGATACCACAGCAATAAACACTTCAGAAATCCCCACATCATAATAGATCTGATAAAGCGACGACACCGCCGCCAGCCGTGGTCCCGGGAACTTCGCCAGTGGGTGCAGCGTATAGCGGTATAGATACAGCCCAAGCCGATACACCAGCACGGCAATCAACACGACAGAAGCGTAGCCCATTTTCGCGAGTTTCTGGAGACGCAGGGTATGATAGAAGAAACACTAGTATTTTGTTCAATTCAGGGCTTTATGGTGGTATTTATACAGGAACTTGATATGGCTGCTAGCTATTATCCTTTAGACCCTCGCTGGCCACGGGGAAATACCCATGTCTTCTACCTCAGGTATTTGAGAGAGTGGGGGTTATTGATAGATGTGGCTCTCGTTATGGGTGTGCTTTCATTATGGGTGTGCTTTTCACAATAGATATATCCTTTCCGGACCACTCAAGCACCACCCTCACTCGAGCATTAACGCAAAAAGGGCCTATAGCATAACCGGCTTCTACACTCTTGCAATTGAACTAGGTTCTCCCCATTCCCCGCCACCCAGCCACCAGCCAAAACCGGGGGATATTCGCCTAGTCCATATGTGAAAGTGCCTATTCGATCATTCCCACCACCCACACATTACCTTATCAGAGTAATCAGGCCTCCCCAAACCTCAGTGCCCGCCGTCATCAAAACCGCCCGATGACAACTCCAGCGCTATCCCTATTCCATATGCTTTGCCGCAGCAGCACATATACATATAGCCAGCGGTCGAGAGATACAGCCTTGTTTGGAATAGAGGTTCTGGATTAGGGCGTGATGGGTTACACGGCAGCTGTCGAGAGGGCCGATCGCCGTGCGGGTGGGGCCGAAAATATCCGCTGGGCGGGGGTTGGGGGTTGGTTAAGCATTTCTGCATCCAGGGTTGCAGGTATGTGACGGATAGTATTTAGAGTTGAAGAAAGACGGTGTGGGGGTTAACATTGACGGATGTGTGTGTGTGTGGGGTTGCCGTCATGTATTATCACTCGGGAATATTATCAGTCGCATTTTGGACTTTCGCTAATGCGGAGAGGGACGAAAACACCTATATGGGATTCATAGAATTATATAAGTCCCATGCGTGAGGACTTTTGTCGGCAGCCAGCTCCAAGAGGGGTTTCGCCTGTATGTACTCCGGTATTTTCTCCTGGTACACTACGATATTTTAATCGCGTCTGGAGGAGAGTATGTAGATACGTGTAGCAATGACTCAATTGTGCCTTTAAGATTTTAGCCATAAGAGCTGTCTGGTCTATCGCTTCTTTTGACCTCGATCATTGTAGATGCGCTACTATACGCAATTCGTAGTAGAATGAAGAGGTTGGTATTAATATTCCGCATCATAGTGGTAGTTTGGTTATAAGTATGAGGTCAAGGGGCCGAGACGAAAAAAGCTTGATGGTCCCATAGCTTTCTAGCTCGTGTCTTGATGAGAAATTGAGGAAGTTCATGTACGGCATTAAGATACATGTATGTTTTCCTTCAAGACCACGAATCCCAGTTGCCAGTAAAGGGTTAGGGTTTACGTGCGACAGAGCCACATACAAGGTTCAGGTTGTCCTTGTTTCCTGTCAATCAGGTCATGTGTGTATCGAAACAAATCGTTCCGTTCTTCGTTTCGAGCGTTGAGATGGCGTCGCGTGCCTATCACCGCTGCTCTTCTAATTCTTGGGACCTGTCTTATTCTTATTTATGCGCAGTACTCTAGCTGATACTTGGCGCAGGACCTCAGTTCTGGTGGTGGTGGTTGGTCTCCATACCCACATGTGCCTACATACTCTAGTCAATCACCTGTCTGTGCAGGAGTGTGGATTAAGTGCGCACAACAACTCGCTTATCTGCTCCATGATCCAGGAATGCGCAACGATCTCGTCGGGCATCTGGAGCTTAAGCTTGCAGAGTGGCAAACTGAGATGATTCCTAGGCGCACTAGGAGATTTAACTCCAATACTGTTAAAGGGAGTTCTGTAGTAGAGTACAGACAGAGAGGAATTGAGTACATGTAGTAAATACTAATCCGACCTAGATCGGAATATGCTGCAAGAGGACTGAGGAGAACGAAGAACAGGCGGGGACTGTACAGGGAACACGTATCGTGTGACAACCGCGACAGCAAAGACAGATAAGTAGCAACAGCCTTATCCAGCCCGCTCTCTGTTTCTGTTCTATCCGTTCTGTTCGTTCAGACAGTACTAGATGTGCTTGTTTGCAAGTCTAGAGGTCTTTCTTCTTTCGCATCCAGAGCACGATTCGAGCGGAATGGCTTACGTACTCGAGCATGCTGCACAGCCAAAGTCCCTGGGGATTTATGCCTGTTGTCAACTGTTTTCTCTTTTGCCTGGTTGGGGTGGCACGAACATCTCTCGCCAGCCTGCGGGGGATCGAAACGTCATCCTGGGAACAAGGAAAAAACAAAAAATTGAAACGTCGGGATGGGATGTGTGACATCGGATTTCGGTATCTTGGGTAGAGGTATATCTACATACACATTCAGACTGCTTGTCACACCCAGGAATCTGTGTGATGAGATGATGAGATGAGATTGATCCTCTAGATCGCCTGGTGTATTGTAGAGTATGCTCTGCGAGTCTACCCTACTGTACCTGGATGGCTCTGTGCCTCTCTCAGACTGTATGCTTGGTGCTGCATCGGTTGTACTGTTTCCGAGATATTGCTCTATTTCCGGGAGCTGAGAGGGAGACGAGAGAGAAAGAGATGGCGTTTGCAGGAGCTGAAAGAAAGAACACACACTGTACTCAATGCCATGCCATGCCATGCCAATGCTCTCTGCTCACTCCCTCTCTCTCTCCCACTCTCCCCCGGCGCCCTCTCCCAGCAGCACTGGCAGTGGCGGTAACGTCATTTGTGTGTAGACTTGACTTGGTGATAGGTATGTTATATCCACCCCCCCTCCCGTCATTCTATCCTCTCTCTCACTGATCCCCCCACTACTCCAAAAGAGCTGTGGTTCCCTCCCTCGTGAGATTCCCATCTATCCTCTCTAGTCTCTGATCATCATCATCATCATCCCCATCATCCCCATCATCCCCATCATCCCCATCATCCCCATCTCTCATCTCTCATCTCCCATTTCCCATCTCACATTTCCCCATCTTCCCGTTTTGCATTAAATATATACCCTACCCATACCCAATCTCTCTAGACCACTCTAATCTCGACAACTGCTAGTAACCGCATATCCCCCACACCCTCTCCGTTGAACTGGTCCCACAAGGCAATTGCCAATCATGGGGAGACACGACAACTACAGTCCGAGCTCTCACCGCAGATCCCCAAGTGCCAGTAGTTACGACGCTCGCTACAGGGTAAACTCTGAAGACGAGGAGGACTACTCCCACTACTCGGGGAAAAAATACAAAGAAAAGAAAGAAAAGAAAGGAGACTCTGGTGACGAGCGTAAGAAGCGCGAAAAAGAAGATAAAGAGAGACACGAAAAAGAAAAGAAAGAGAAAAAGCGCCGGGAGAAGGAGGGCTACAGCGGCGGCGACCCCAGTAGTTATGGGCGCCGTGAAGATGAACATCGGCGACACGAATATGTTCAAGAAGAAGATAGGTCAAGTGGTTATGGCGAGGAGCGCCGTGAACACCAGTATGAGGAGTCGCGCAGATTTCCCAGCGAGCACGGCGGCTACGGCATGCACCAGGAAAGCCATGGTTACGGCGAGAGGCCGAATATGCAGCAGGCATACGGCCATTCGAGCTACGGAGACCAGCCGGCGTATGGAAGTCAGCCGCAAACGTACCAAACCCCATCCCCTCCGAGTGCTGGATATGGAAGCGGACAAGGCGCGTATGTGTACCAGCCGACGTCGCCTCCCCCGGTTCAGTATCAGCCCTCTTATCAGCAGAATGCTTATGGTGGAGGGGGTGCGTATAGCGGAAGCACTTATCAGCCAGGTCCGTCACCACCTCCGCCGCAGGCGGGGTACGGAGCTTATGGAGGGTTCCCGCCTTCGGGGCCACCTGGCCCACCTCCACCGCAAAATTATGGCCACGGGTATCATCCGCAAGAGCAGCCTAGCTATGAATTCCGCCCGCAGGAGCAACCGGCGTCTTATGTAGGGTATAATCAATCCTCACCAGCCCAAGGGCCTTACGCAGGATACCAAGCGCCGCCGGGTCCACCTCCTGGTACTCCCGGCTATCACTCACCAGCTCCCCCGACACATGGCAGCCACGGATTCTATCCACCACCGCAGCCTCCTAGCTCAGGTTACGGTTCCTCGAGTTACAACGCGCCATCTTCTGCCTACAATGCGCCGTCTTCCGCATATAATGCGCCAGCTCCGGTCTACAATGCGCCGTCTTCCACTTATAACGCACAGTCTACGTACAATGCGCCCTCTTCCACCTACAATACACAGTCTGCCTACAATGCTTCACCTTCATACGGTGGGCCATCTTCAACTCATCATACCGCAGCTACCCCCCAAAACGCACCACCCATACCCTTAGCGGGCCTGTCAGGCATGGCTGCCGGTTTTGGTGCACATGCTCAGAAGCCGCAACCCAATCCGCAACCCAATATTGCACAGCAACAACAACAGGAGAACCCTCCTAGCGGGACAGGTCCTGCAAAGATTTCATTGGGGGCGTCGGCCGACCCAGCAAAACCGTCTGCGTTAAATACCTTTACAACCGGCTTGAACTCGGCACTGCATGGATATGCTAGGACATTTTTTCCAGTGAACACAACTCATAACCCTACGATACCTAACGTGGCATCTCACCAGGATAAGCCGACTGCATCATTAGGAGCCTCCGGCGAAAGTGGAGCACCATCACAGATTACTAATAAAAGATTTAATTCCTTTGCACGTGAAAGGGGTCGTAATTCCGTCAAGTGGTATGTTGACGGGAAGGATTACATGTATGCTGTCAGTATAGCTCTAGAAAACGCTCAGAAAAGCATCTGGATCCTGGATTGTATGCGGTTATCTCCTTGTCTTTGCGAGGGGCTAGCTAATCTTTTGGGATAGGGTGGTTGAGTCCTGAGATTTATCTTCGAAGGCCTCGAGGACCCGATGACCGATACCGTCTCGACAGAATGCTTTGCCGGGCCGCTAGACGTGGCGTCAAGGTCAATATCATTGTATACAAGGAGGTTACCCAGGCTTTGACCCGTAAGTCACTTAAACCCGTCCTCTCCCCATACATTTCATCTCTCATCTCAAAACACACCCCCACCTCCTCCAAACCGCTCTCCTTCCTATCTTCGCTGGCTTCAGATATCGCTCTGCCCCTTGCATTTCATGGTCTTGAAAAGCTTGAGGCCAAATACCCGCTCCTGTACCCCTCTGACGCCTCTGGTTTTGTCACAGTGAACTCATCACACACCAAGCACCACCTTGAGGACCTACATGAAAATATTGCTGTGTTTAGGCATCCCGACCATCTTCCAGATAGGCCGACAGTCCAGCAGGATATCTGGAAGAAGATTTCGGGCGGGAGCTACTCAATCGGCGATGGGCTCAAAGGGCTCTATGGTATGAGCAACGGTGTCGTGCTTTACTGGGCGCACCACGAGAAGCTGTGTTTGGTTGATGGGGAGATCGCCTTCATGGGTGGTCTGGATTTGTGCTTCGGAAGATGGGACACGAATAACCATCCCATCGCCGATGCCCACCCAGGGAATATTAACGAAGTCCTTTTTATTGGACAGGATTACAATAACGCTAGGTGACAATTTTATCTAAGACTTGGATGGATATTTTTACTGAACGGGTGATAGGTTGATGGATTTCCACACTGTTGAGAAATGGGACCAGAACAAAGTATCGCGCACCGAATCCTCCCGAATGGGATGGTCCGATGTCGCACTATGCTTCACGGGTCCGACAGTGATCGATCTGCAGCGCCATTTCATCGAGCGCTGGAATTACATCTACACCGAGAAGTACAAGATACGAAACGACAAGAGATTCTCCCTCATCCCCCTCGACGAGATCACCAAGAAGGAACAGAAAGAAGAAAGCCTCGGTAAGCACGCGGACCTTGTCGGGGTCCAGTGCCAGATTGTCCGTTCGGCCAGTAAATGGTCTCATGGCCTTCCCGTGACGGAGCACTCCATTGCCCAAGCCTACATTGATGTTATTCTTGCGGCCGAGCACTTTATCTACATCGAAAATCAGTTCTTCATCACGGCGACAGACGACCGGCAGAGCCCCATCATCAACAAGATTGGCTTTGCAATCGTCGAACGTATCCGCAGGGCCGTAGAGGACAGAAAGAAGTTCAGGGTCGTCGTGGTTATGCCAGCCGTCCCTGCGTTTGCAGGCGATCTCCAGGACGAGGGAAGCTTGGGTACTAGGGCTATCATGGAGTTCCAATACCGGTCCATATGCAGAGACAACAAACTCTCAATCATGGAGCAGATCGCAAAGGAAGGCGTTGATCCGATGGAGTACATCCGCTTCTACAACCTGCGCAACTACGATAGAATCAATGCCTCCGGCACGATGGAGCAAGTCGAGCAAGCGTCCGGCGTACCCTACGAGGCTGCTGCCGCAGCATACGACGAAAGGTTTGGCGGCGGCCACGGCCAAGGTACCCATGGCTACGGAAACCCGCAGCCTGACGCTTACCCCCGGTACCAGCAAAAGGCGCCAGGCGGCAGCAGCGAATGGGACAGCGTCTCACGATGCTCAATGCTCAATGGCGGCGACATCCGCACCGTCCCCTGGGAGGGCGATCCAAACCGGGAAATGGACGCCTTTGTCTCCGAGGAGCTATACGTGCACTCGAAACTCCTCATCGCCGACGACAGCACCGTCATCTGCGGTTCAGCCAACCTGAACGACCGCAGCCAGCTCGGCGACCACGACTCGGAGATCGCAATCGTCATTAATGACCCCACCGTGCTGTGGTCCTACATGAACGGGGAGGAGTACCAAGCCAAACAATTTGCCGCCACACTACGCCGCCAGATCTTCAGGAAGCACCTCGGCCTCCTCCCCGCGCAGGAGATGAGCGACTACAACAGGAACATGGATCCCATCTTCACCGAACGGGACGGGTACGACGGGTACGGTGTGCCCCATATCATAACCAACTGCTACGACTTTAACTCGTACGAAGACAGCCTCGTAGTTGACCCGCTAGGCGATCTCTTCTGGAACCTCTGGAATACCACGGCAAGGACCAACACCGAGGTCTTCAGCAAGGCATTCCACGCAGTACCCAACGACCGCGTCAGGAACTGGTCCCAATACAATGAGTTCTACTCAAAGTACTTTGTGCCAACTGCGGAGGAAAAGCTACGCGCCGAGGCGGAGACGAAGGAGCGTGCCGCGAAGGCGGCCGCGGCCGGACAGCCGAAGCCGGAGGCTGTCAAGCCGAGGGCGATGATCGAGTATGGCCATGTGGTGAAGTCCGAGTTTTCGCCTGGCGAGCAGGGCGTGTGGGAGCTTAAGGAGCTGCTGAGTAAGGTTAAAGGACACCTTGTGGAGATGCCTTTGGACTTTTTGGTGGAAGAGGATATTGCGAAGGAGGGGCTGGGACGTGAGTATTCCACTTCTTGCTAATTTTTTTGTTTGGGGTGGATGCTAATGAGACGGATGAGTAGTGAATGCTTTGACAGAGACGCTTTATACTTGAGCTGGGTTAGGTCAGGTTTTGGAGTATAGCGATTTTTTTAGATGTCTTATGAAATATAGGATGGGATGGGATGGGATGGGGGTTAGCTTCTAAGTGTGATATCCTAGCATGGGCACGGAAATAGGGAAAATTTCACTTTTTGTATACCAGTCAATATAGCTTTGTGGCAGTTTCTAGAGAGGATCTGTGCATGAAGGCTCTGAGTTTGTTTGTTTCTGTGGGTGCTGAGCACCTTTGTAAATACCTATCTACATGTAGCTTCCTTCCTATCCAGGCTTCCGTAGGGCCAGTGATCGTCGTCCCCCATCGCACCTCTGTGGTGCCCGTTGTCTGCACCGCCAACAAAGAAAGAAAGAAACCGCATCCGCACCTTCCCCGCCACCAGAAACAGGTTAGCCCCTCCCGGGGAGCCAAGAAAAAGCAAAGTCCGGGGGATCCGCCCCGATGACGTTATCCAGATTCCAGATCCCGACCGTGCCCCGCGGAACAAAACCCCCACCTGCTGGTTCCGCGAGGACTGGAGGGTGCATAGAGAACATAAAGCTCTCTCTCTCTCTCTCTCTCTCTGTCTCGATATCAAATCAATTCCTCAATAGACTCACTGCTACCTCCATCAGAATCATCTTCACCACTCCACCCCTACAACTTACCATCCACAATGTCATTCGACGTCCGTCCCCTCCCCCCTCCCCCCTCCCCCCTCCCCCCTCCCCCCTTCCCCTCTCCCCCCTTCCCCTCTCCCCCAGAGTATCCAGCTAACACCACCATAGAAACTGCCCCCCAACACCCCCACCGCCAGCAGCCTCCTCTTCGCCAAGAAGAAGGAGTCGCAGCTGACCTTCGCCGACCTCGGCCAGATCCTGGGCCGCGACGAGGTTGCGGTTGCCGCAATCTTCTACGGCCAGGCGCGCGCCGACGAGGACGATATCCGCAAGCTGTCGAAGGCGCTCGGGTTGTATGAGAGCGTGCTGCAGGCGGAGCTGGGCGGGTGTCCGTTTAGGGGGAGCACCGTGGAGATGCCGCGTATGTATTTATCTTTCCCGGGTATTTTTCGGGGTTGGGGATTGTGGGGAAGGGGTGAGTTGGGGTTATGGGATGAGTGCTGACTTGATGAGGTATTGGGGGGGTGAACAGCGAGAGAGCCGTTGATCTACCGCCTGTATGAGATTGTGCAGACGTACGGGCAGGCGTACAAGGCGGTGCTGAACGAGAAGTTTGGGGATGGCATCATGAGTGCCATTGCGTTCTCGACGAAGGTGGAGAAGGAGACGGATGACAAGGGCGTGGATTGGGCGGTTATTACGCTGCGTGGGAAGTGGTGAGTTTCTTTGATTTTGATTCTGGGGGGAGGGGGGAGTGTGGGCGAGAGTGCTAATGGTGGTGATTTGTGTAGGTTGCCGTATTCGCGCTTTTAGAGAGCGGGTTGGAGGGCTTTGAAGGACTTGTTTGTTGATAGGGAAATACCGGCGGCCAGTCATTGCACAGTTGCAATCCTATAGCTAGCTAATTAATTATTGCCCACCAAGCACCTCGGTTCTGATTCTGGTTCTGTCTCGAGAATGGACCCGCGCTAGTGTAGTTGTAGTTACTGCACAAGCCATCACTCGACCTTTCCCTCCCCCGTAACAAAACCGCACACACGGCCATCTAGAACCAACCCGCCAAGAACACCAAACCGACACAACACCCCCCCTATTTAGATCTCTCTATTTCCATTACTTAAAAGATCCCCCCCCATCTCCCACTTTAGAACTCGACCTGTAATGAGGACCCTGCATTACCCTCATCGCATCTCAATGTGACAATTTATCCGGCGCTCCGCGTTCGCATTGGTCGAGTACTATCGGTAGAGCAGAGCGGAAAGGAGAGTGGATAGTTGAAAGAAAAGCATACAGTAGATATTGGCGGTGATTGGTTCACGCCTAAGCGAGCGTGTTGAGGGAGTGGTGTTTTTACTTTTTCTTAGTAGAACTCGAGATGTGGTGGCGTCTAAGTGGACTTTGAAGAAGAAAAAAAAAAAAAAACACTACAGTAGAGTAGAGCAGGCTCACCATGTGAAAGATTAAAGACCGACCAGAAAGTCCTTTGGCCAGAGTACCTACAGTACAGGTGTCCTCAATTGAATCATAAGTATGGTAAAGAAGCAATTATTGCCAAACTACATGTAGATATATAACCCTAACCCACACAGTACGATCAGACCCCGGTGTAATAGTAATAGTAATTGTAATTGTAATGGTTTCATCCCAACCGTTTGTATTCTCATTACTCTAGACCAGGGCCGTTTTTTTCCCGCTGGTCTGCTGGAAGTTGTGTCTCTACTCTATCTTAGGCTGTAGTCTGTGATCTGTGATTGAGTGGTGGCATTATTGTTTACTATCCCACCAGGGAGGGTTCGGGTGGTTGGCCGTTTGGCCGAGACCGTTGGGGTGCGCTCGGTCTTGTCCGGGCTGGTCTCGAGCTGGCTCTATGTGTCTCGAGGTGAGAGAGAAACAGTAGGGATGGGATTGATATCAAGGTTTGGACGGAGACATCCGGTATGGAACTTTATCCTGTTCAACGGTTGAGTGCGCGCACATAATTTGTCTTGCAGGTGGATAGTCAAACAAGACATAAAAATTGTTTTTTATAGCAGGTTTAAGGAAAGATAGTAGGGATGTTTGTAAGACAATTGTTAATATTGGGAATTAAAATGTCGGCCTGTACATGTGTGGCCGTACTCCGCTGAGATTGTAGACAGTAAGTAACGTTATGGACCCTGGATATGTATCAATTGCTATCTTGTTTCATAACGCGGAGGAGAAATGCCGTTCGGTACATTGTGGCCTATACCGAACTGATGGCCTCTAATCCAGGTACACATTTTTTGTATGTAAAGGCTTGTATGCTGGTGGTTTTCGGATTTCGCCAGTCGGTGCCGTAGGTGCACTAGGGGGACCTTGTGTACCTTCGGGCTTGTCCGTGATGGAGCTCCGGTAATATTGGCCAGTTGCATGGACCAACTGGGAACAAAAACGTGCACAGGATTTTGAGGCCGACAGGGTGTTCTTCGGCGAAATGCGAAGCTGAATTACAATATTCTGTGATTAGATGTGCTTTGTAGGTGGTGTTTTGACCGTGTAGTGTAGTTGTCTCGTTGGATAGATTAGTGGACTGATGTAATTGGCCAATGGTTAATCTAGATTACCTGCTTTCGTAAACCAATGCCAGGTAGAAGTGTAGAATAATAATACACTGCTTGTGCAACTTTCAAATATAGCAATAACCTCATTGGACCACCACCCAACGTCCATCGCTAAGGTCCCTCGATCTTCAGAAGCCCAATCCAATCTTAGATTCCCATTACTAAAACCCACATCGTCGTCCTGCACAATGCAGGCCACGGGTTGCCAAGAAGCAACGAGGGGGTGGCACAGATAAGATCATTGTGGATATGTGGAGGAGTAAGGTTAAGGTTGCGTGCAATTGAGAGAAGTCGGAGAGTCGGGGAGTCGGGCCTCGGGAATGCCGATGGCATGGAATTGCATTATGTGTGCATAGCTCGATCTGCTGCACGGGGGTTTATCCAGCAGCATCGTGGGCGTTGCGGAAAGAACAACGGAGTGATGATGCCTACATGTCTGGATAATGATCTTGTTGTTCAAGAAGTGTCGATTGTGTTTGTGAGGTGGTTTGTGGTGGACCGGGGTAATGATTAGGGTTATCTTGGTATGTAGTACCAACGGTGGTGCTCGAGTAGACTTGCCGTGTCATGCTGTACTACATGTGCACTACTACCTCCAGAACCCCGAAGTGGATATCATGAATGCAGCGTGGATTCAGTCAATCACCTTGGCTGTTCGTTTCTATTCAGTCTGCACCTTATGACCTGGCACACTACTATCAAAGGACACCTTCAGGAAATATCTCAAGCAACACATACTATGTGTGAAAGAACACCTTTGGGAGGACCGAGGAGAATCACACTTTGGAGGATACAGAAACACCAACCCACTTGCTATGTATATCAAGCCATCCTGTGACTGGACTCTACCTTACCTCTCTTAACACCATACAAATTACGGTCCAGCGTTAGCACGAGCTAAACCACTCACTTGGATCCAAACTTCCAGTTTCCTGTTTTCATCCAATATAAGGATAAGAAACCCAGGGTTCTATTCCACAGAACCGGGAGCTCTCGATAATCTTAACCCCCCAACTTTCATCCCGGGGACTCGGACCGGCTGTTACACTGACCCACTTGAGCGCATAAACATATAACTGCCATGACCTGACCCGAACAATAGGGAATTCTCTAATATAACCACTGGGCATGATCACTAGAGCTAGTTTTGAGCTTGAAGAGGAGGGCACTTACTATGTAAGTACATGTATGTAAGCGAAGGTGGATTAGTGATTTCTGATATTGAAGCTTCGGGTGCTACTGTTCCGTGAGCATATCAAAGGCCGATTTTCGCATTTGGCCGGTAACTCGGCCACATTCCATACTATGAATCACCTCGCACATGGAATCGATACGTAGTATGGCACCATTACTCTCGGATATGCCCGTCAGAGAAGCCTCTATTTTTCTTTTTCTTATCTTTCCCAATGTTGCCGCCGATCTCCAACACTTTTGCACTTGCCTGGCCGAGGCTGAAGGGCTGAAGGCTTGTTTATTTGCGCCAAGTTTCCTTTTTAGGGCTTGTGCAGTGGCCTGGATACAGAGGTGAGTATGTTTATTAAAGTTCCAAGATGTCCGAGTCCTCAGGGAGGACGGTTTTATGTGTAGTCTAGAACTCTAGAATAGTCCATTGAAGGTGAACGTGCATCTTCTGGACGGAGAACACAACTTGGCTCACCGGACGGCTTCAGATGAGACAGCATCGGAGTGATACGACCTTGATTGCGCGCCGAAAAAGCATTTTATGATTTCTTGGAAGGCAGATGTGGCTGGTTAATCCCCGACCCGATGATATGCGGCCAAGGACTGACTATCCTTGACCCACACAATTCATTCA